CCTTCCAGCACCCCTGTGATTCAAATGTTGGTATGTTTGGAGTTGTCCCAGAGGCTCCTTAGACCATCTTCGGGTTTTTTTTTTGGATTCTTTTTTTTCTTCTTGCTGTTCTAATTGAATTTTTTTTTCTTCTTTATATTCCTAATCATTGATTTGATTCTCGGCTTCATCCACTTCACCATTGGTTTCCTGTAAATTTTTTTTTATTTCATTTTGTGTAACCTTCATTTCCACCTGGTTCTTTTTTATGCTGCTGAAGTACCCAATGAGTTCTTGGAGCATCCTAATCACCAGCATTTTGAACTCTGCATCTGATAGGTTGGCTATCTCCATTTTGCTTAATTCTTTTTTGGCAGTTTTGTTCTGTTCGTTCATTTGGGCCATATTTCTTTGTCTCCTCATTTTGGCAGCCTCTCTCTGTTTGTTTCTGTGTATTAGGCAGAGCTGCTTTGATTCCCTGCCTTAGTAGTGTGGCCTATTGTAGAAAAGTGCACCAGTTAGTTGGATGGGGCAGAGTCCTAGGTAATTGCCAGGGTGGGGCAACCATGTTGCCATTCTGTATCTCTGTGTTAGGGAGGGCTCAGGGAGGGTTCAGTGCAGCTGCCTGGCCTCCCGAGTTTTGTGTGGGATGAAGCTGTCTCCCAGCACTCACCCTGATGCCAGACACTTCAGTTCCTCCCCGCATGCCACCGGTGCCCTTCCAGCTGTGGCCCTCCTGCTGAAGCTCACAGGGAGAGAGTCTGTGTAAGACCTAAGTCTGCTGGGGGCCCTTTAAGAGGAGACTCCAGAGAATCCTGCAGTTTCTTCTGCTGTCCCAACCCCTATTGGTTTTTACAGCCACGAAAATATGGGGACTTCTCTTCCTGGTGCTGGAACCCTGGGAGGGGTGGCCTGGTCTGCGGCTGGGACCCCCCCGTCCCGAAGTGTCCCTCCTGATTTTTATCCACCACACGTGGGTGTGGGACTGCCCATCCCACGTCTCCGTATCTCTCCTCACCCCTCTGCACCTCCGCACCTCTCCATGCGTCTGCGTCTGCGGACCTCTCTGCGCATCTCCACATCTCTGCCCCCGCCCCACCTGTCCAGATAAATGTGTCTTCTTTAATTCCTTGGTTGTCAGACTTCCATACAGCTCCATTATCTGATGACTCTGGGTGATAATTGTGTTGTAATCTAGTTGTAAGTTTTGGCATGGTTGTGTGAGGAGGCGAGCCATGTTTACCTGCGCCTCCGTCTTTACCAGAAGTCCCATAGTAAAACTGCCAGAACCTCAAGGTGCCAGAAAGAAATACTCCCTGGATGGTGCCGGTGTACTTGCTCGCTGTTGTCCATCAGCAGCATTCTGCAGCTGTACTCATGCTCATGCTGCGCTCTTCAACCTATTCAGCTTCCTCCTGCCTGCCCACCCCCGGGAGAGCCACCGTGGTGCTGCAGACCCCAGAGAGGCGCCCCTCAGGTGGGCAGCTCCCTGCCAAACCTGGGCACTTTACCTCACGCCAGCTAGGTCACCGCCACTGCCTTCTGCTGGCCCGGTTCCTCCATTTCTCCTCTTTCTCCGCCACAACCTCCTCCACACGAGAGCAAGAGCGCTACCAAGATAACCACAATGAATATTCTATTTTATTTCTTCCCAGTGTATTTTCTATATTTTAAAAAAATGTGGGATCATCTCATAGCTTCTTGAACTTTTGGGGAATAGTCTAACGCTGGACTGTATTAATACTTGAGACAGAGCTGTCTTTAGAGAGAGGCTTTGACCTTGAATGCACTTCACAGTAAGGAGACTGCTTCCTCTGGCTGATTGGACCAGCCACTTTTCTTTCTTTTGCTATCATATTTTCATGGAATCACAGAGTCTTGGAATTGGTGAAGACCTCAGGGATCAGGATCCATAGGGTAGTGTTTAAATACCACACATACCACAGGGCAAGAAGGAGCACTTGATACTTGTGGTTTCTATACCTGCTGTCTGGGTCACCAGTGCCACATCACAGGCAGCAGAAAGGACCCTGTGAGACACAGTCTTGCTGCTGTATAGAGGTTAATAGCTGTTGACAACCAGGGAGAAAAGCCTGTTCCTCATTTATGATATAAATGGAGCTCTGGCCAGGTGTTTCAGTTGGTTGGAGTGTTGTCCTGTAAACCAAAGGTTGTGGGTTCAATTCCCAGTCAGAGCACATGCCTAGTTTGTGGGTTTGGTTTCTGGGCAGGGCACATATGGGAGGCAACAGATCGATGTTTCTCTCACATGCATGTTCCTCTCTCTCTCTCTCTCTTTCTCCCCACCCCCCACTTCCTCTCCCTTTGGAATCAGTAAATATGTCCTTAGGTGAGGGTAAAACAAACAAAGATATAAATGGAGACTGCCAGCCTAAGGATAATGGATCTTCATAAACTATTGCTTTCATTTTGTCACGATCAACAGGGTGCTCTCAGTAGCTTTCTTTCACAACAGGAAGTTAATGTTATTTGAGTACATTTGTCACATTAATAATATAGACTGTATCAATGGAATATTAAAAATGTAAAACAGTTTTGAAACACAGAATCTTTAAGGATTCTATGGCAACCCTACAAAATTACAGAAATTTAAATTTGGGATTAGGTTGAAAAGAGTTTTGAACTGAGGGAAAGTGGTTGCTCTGAGGATAAAAATGCTGATTAATTTAAAATCTTATCATGAAATTGGTGAAAGTACCGTAAAGGAAGGGAATTAAAACTTAACTTCCCTTTAACTTAAATTTAGCTGCAAATACCACTTATTTATTTAGTTTGCCTCTCTTTATTACTAGCCTACTTGCGTGAAACTAGTACAACAGTACTCTAAAGGAGTAAGTTTTCTTGATATTAAATCAAATTCTAAGTTTACTGAATTAGAACCTGAAGTCTTATTCCATGAAAAATGCCCCTTTTTTTTTTTTTTGCAAATTATACTGCAAGGGTATAGTTTTTCATTACTGTAAAAAAAAATGTGAACATGACGCTGGGACACAAGATAATGGTTGTTATTTTGACTTTAGCATATTCTGAATCAAGAGCTGTTAGAATTGCTTACCAATACTTGAAAAAATAAATTCTGTTTCTCCAAGGTATCGCTAGGCAATCATAAGTACATACATAAAAACTAGCTGGAACACTGAAAATCCTATGTTAAGGTGAATTTTAAAATCGTCATTCAGGATTCAGAATGTTCTTACAGTTACTCTTTATTGATAAAAATGTTTTTAATGGTCCCAGAATACCCCTAAGAATATACCAAACTCATACCAAAGGATAACATCCCTCTATTTGACAAATGCTGGTCCAAAACTCTAATGCTTTTACTCACAAAGAGTCAATCTGCCACTTAAAAATGAGGGTCAAGGGTATGATTTTCAAATTTTATATGAACTCTGTTTTTTACATCAAAGTTCAATTATTTCTTAATAAGAAATATAATTGCCACATGGATGAATAATTGTATTGCCCAATTAATGCATTTTCTTCCTACTTGGAAAACTAAACTATGAAAAGCTTGCTTGATGAGCACAGAACCTCTACACACAATTGGCACTCTGAGTGTTAAGAAATTGCTTTGCTAGCCCCTTTGACACCTATAGAAAAACATTGTCAAATCCACCTTGATAACTGTCTTATCCAATCAGTGATAATTTTCTTTTCTCTCAGTTCCATGTTGAACCTACATCAGCTCTCAGACTTCTGTTTTGTACCTAGTTATACAACCTTCAAAACAAGTTTTCCAGAGCTTTCAAATGAAATCTTAACTCTTAATCTATGAACAAAAGTAGAACAAATAACACTAATTCAGTGTGCAGATCCCTAAAGGGGAGTCTTCCTTCTGACCAAGAATTATCCATTTTTGTTAATTGGTGACATTCTTCATAATCCCCTGATGTGTGGACTTAAAAATCTTCTGTTTACTTACTGCCAATAACATTCCTTTAATTTAAAAGTATTAAACATTTACTATATTTAACTCACATGACTTTGTACCTAATTGTTTATAATTCTTGATTAGCCATATATTTTTTCAATAATAAAATGTTAATGGCTGTGATTTAGGTAATGTAGAAAATGTTCTATAGACATTAGCAGATATAACTGTACTATCTCTATTTTTTCACTTCAAAAATTAAGTTTAATAAATATAATTTGTTTTTTACCATGTCATTCCACAATACAGTTCTCTAGTATTTAATATATTTCAAAGTGTAAAGTATGGCTTCCCTATCAAGTCACTGCTGTAAGTCAATAATCCACTTTTATATCCTTTACAGTACCTTTTTCACACAGTAGAAGAGAAAAACATTTTTCTATTTTTTTATTTTTATTGATTTTATAGAGAGAGGAAGGGGGGGGAGAGAGAGAGAGAGAGAGAGAGAGAGATCTATTTGTTGTTCCACTTATTTATGCATTCATTGGTTGATTCTTGTATGTGCCCTGACCAGAGATCGAACCTGCAACCTTGGAGTATCCAAACGATGCTCTAACCAACTAAGCTACCTGGCCAGGGCGAGAGATAACATTTTTAATGAATGATTAGGTAAATAATATAAGTGGATATTACCTGAATAGTTATAAACTTCTGCCTTAATTTTATCGTGACTACTCATCCAACTGATAGAAATTCAGTCTTGCTGCAACCTTTTAAGAAGAGACATTATGCAGAAAAAATTTGACTATTAGGAAGAGAACTTTTACTGTAAATATATATGGCCGCTCCCTCTTTATTCCATCTCCTTCACTATCGGTTGTGCTTGCTAGTAGGCACGACTTTTGTTACCACTTCAACCCCATTTCTGTTTTAAATTTTCAAAAAGTTTCAACAGAAATTCTTAAATTTTTCAAGAATTCTGCTGAAGACAGTTCTATCAGGATCACATACTTATTGAACACATATATATCTTTGTAAATGTATGTAAAAGGAAATTAAATAGGAAACCTGTTAGGCTTTTATAAATATGAAATTTTATGTAATTTTTAATTTTATTTTTAAACAGGCAGAAATACTCAGTGTCCTCAGTCACAGAAACATCATCCAGTTTTATGGAGTAATTCTTGAACCTCCCAACTATGGCATCGTCACAGGTAGGAACTCACTATTTGACTTTTTCTTTCCCCAATTACCTAGCTTTAGATTCTTTAACAAGCTAAAATGTTTAATATTAGGTTCAGTCATGAATTGTGTGCTACTGTCAGATGTCACTTTTGTTGCTATCAAGCATTAATAAAACTGATTATATCAATATAATTAAGAATGGTGTTGCCACTTCTACCCATGTTTAATTGTGCTAATTATATCTGCATAAATGCTATTTAAATACACTCGCAGCTGCAATACCAATATTTAAAGGTGCCGTTTAACTAAAATTTCATTTAATTAGTTGAAATGAGCGATGTTTTTTGTAACTCTGTGACCTTTTACAAATTAAGATTTCTGGAGCTATTCATGTTGTAATTCTTTGCCAGGCGTTTTAATCCCATTAGAGCATTCTTTCTTCAAGGTCTCTGACATGAGAACAATATTTTTCAGGTTTGGTCATCTCAGTTGGTAATGACCTTGATCTATATTATCACATAATTTGGAACAGTGGTTTATAACTGGTAAAAATGTCCTTTCCAAAGAGGAGCACACAGAAAATTGTGCCATATAAAAACACAGACATGCTTTTTAAAATACTGTGTACTCATGTTTGTACAATCCAATCAGCAGTTTTATGTCTATAAGTATGGTGTTCAATTTTACAGTAAATAACTTTGATCAGGTTCTTTATCATGGCAGTTCTTTGATCAAAACCAAACAAACAAGAAAAACCTTAATAGATTAGCCCTATCCTCTTCTACCTTGTAGTAAGAACTTCGATTGTCTTTATATTTAGAAAATAACAACTAAAAACCATCAATAAAAAAGATTGGAATAGGTACTTTCTTATAAATTATCTCATCTAATACTCACAATAACCCTATGAGAAAGGTAAAATAATTTCTGTTTTACAAATAAGAACCTAAAACTCTAAATGAAGTAACTCTCCCAAGTTCACCCAGTTAGTGGTAGAACCGGAGTGGTAGAAATTTCTCAGATCGATTTTTGTAGAGAAGTTCCTCTCCTTGCATGCAAGCTGTGATTACACTGGTTCTTAAGCTCAAAGAGACATGATTGCTATTATTTCCATCTTCTTATAGCAGGCATTTTAACAGGCTTTTACTCTAATAAGTAGTATTTTTACCTAAGTTCTTATGTAGTGGGTATTTTATCCCCATTTAGCTATCTTTAGATCTGTACCTGAAATGAAGTGTGTGGCAGTTTTTATCTTGAGCTTATATATTTTCTATCAACTTGAATACCTAAGAATGGGTTATATTGTTAGCGTCTAAGCTGTGCTTAACCTTCTAGGTCAGATTTCTGGTTTAAGGTTAAACCCTGTCTCTGACCCAGTTCACATATTGCTCTTTATTTCCTAGTCCATTATATTTACATTTTACCGGTTGTGTTTACCTTATAAATCTGAATCCACTTTTCTGATTCTCATTTGTAACTTAATTTATTCTTATCTAGCAGATGAAAGTATGATGCTCCAAAGGAATTAGACACTCCACTTTTTGTCTTGTACCCTTTATGTTTAATGCTTTTGAGGATAAGATTTTAACTTTAACTCACTCAGTGGACTATTCATGAAGTTATCTAGTTTCTTTTGAGGTGAGGATGAAGACTAGAAAAAGAGACCTGAGTCACGGTATGAATCCGTTTTCCAGGAGTTACTCTCAGTCCCTAGGAAGATATGAAACAGTCATTTTTAGCTGGCATATTCAAATTGGGTCTTCTTATCCAAAAGAGGGAGAAAGAATCCAAGCAGTTAGATGAGTATGTTTGTATTTTATTTAGTTTTTTTTTTAATAGACTAGTCAGTCCTTTATTTCATGTACTCTTCTAATATCCTCTGCTGATACCTATACCTACTCAAAACCTTTGGTTATCAGTGACTAGTTCTTTTAGATCTATATTCATTTCCCTGTAAGGCCAGCAAATAACATTAAATTTTAACATTAAACATTTCTTTAAAACAACACAAGTTTCAGAATTGTGAGGTAATGGTAAATTATATATTTATAGCTCTTTTACTGACCTATGAGGCTGATTATTAAAGATACCTCTTGGCCAAGTTTTGATGTTTTAGAATGTATTAATTTGATAAGATTGCCTTTGTTCCCAAGTATGCTAGTGTTGTTTGTTTACAAGTGTCTGCCAAAGAAATATGTGAACTTCTCAACCAACCTTCACCAGCATTAGGATCAAGCTATACTCTGTGCATAGGTAGTAGTACATAACTGAGCCAAGTTTGGGAGATTAGATGGGTTGGGGATGACAATACTTACCCTGCCTCTTTGAGTGAACACATTGGATTAAACATACAAAAATATCAAAGCATTGATATGTTCAGAGAACAAAAAGAAACTGTTTAAAGAATTAAAGGAGAGTATGAAAACAATGAATCAACCAATAAGGAATCATATCAAATAGATAGAAATTATTTTTTTTTAAAAAAAGACCCAGTCAAAATTTTGGAGTTGAAAAAGACAGTAATTGAAATTTAAAATTCTCTAAAGTTGACAAAGTGTATTTGAGATAGAAGAAGAAAAATAAATCAATGAACTTAAAACCAGGTCAGTAGAAATTATTTAATCTGAAAAAGGAAGGCTTTGAAGAAAAATGAAGAGAACCTGAGACCTATGGAACAACATCAAGGATATCAATTAATATGTAGTAGAAAAGAAAGAAGAGAAGAAGGATAGAAAAATAGAAAATGAAAAAATAGAAAACTATTTGAAGAAATAATGGCCAAAAAAGACTTCTCAAGTCTAATAAAATACATCCATCTATATACCTGAGAAGCTTAACAGATCCAAAGTAGGATAAAGGCAAAAGAGCATACACCTAGACGCATCATAATCAAATGCTTGATAAAGTCAAAGTGAAAATTCTTGAAAGTTGCAAGAAAAAAACAACTTCTCATGTACAAGAGAATGACAGTATGTTTAACGACTGACTCTCATCTACAACAATAGAGGCCAAAAGGCAGTAGACATTTAAAGTACCAAAAGAAAAAACTGTATCCAGCAAAATTACCTTTTAAAAATGAACTCAAGATAGACATTCTTGGATAAAGGATGAAAGAATCTGTTGCTAGCAGTCCTGCCTTCCAAGAAATACTAAAGGAAGTCCTTCAGGCTGAAAAAAATGGCAACAGATAGTAATTCAAGTCCATGGGCAGAAATAAAGGGTACTGAAAATGAGAAATATATGGGTTAATATAAATGGCTCCCTATTATATTTGCTCTCATTTCTTTTCTTAATATAATTAAAAACATAAGATTGTACAAAGCAATATTTATAACACTGTTTGTTGACTTTAAGACATATATAGATACATATTACAGTAATAGCCTAAGGAATGAGGAAGGAAATGGAACTAATTTAGAGTAAGCTTTCTACAGTTTACTGTAATTGAGTATTAATCTAAAGTAGATTGTGCTTAATTAAGAAGTATTTTATAGTTCCTTGAGCCACTACTAAGAAAGTCTACACAAGAAGTATAGTAAAAAGTCAGCCAAGGAATTAAAATGACAAGTTAAAAATAGTAACACAGAAGAAGGAATAGAGGACTGAGGACGGGAGACAAAAAAACAAGATGGCAAATGTAAGCCCAACATATCAATAGTTACATTAAATGTGAATGGTCTGAACACCCCAATCAAGAGAGAGATTGTCAGACTGTATTTAAAAAAGCAAGATCCAATTATATACAACCTATAAAAGACATATCTTAGATTCAAAGACATCAATAATTCAAAAGTAAAAGGATGGTCATTTTTAAAAGGTAGTTTTGCTGGATACAGTTTTTTCTTTTGGTACTTTAAATGTCTACTGCCTTTTGGCCTCTATTGTTGTAGATGAGAGTCAGTCATTAAACATACTGTCATTCTCTTGTACATGAGAAGTTTTTTTTCTTGCAACTTTCAAGAATTTTCACTTTGACTTTGGCCAAAAGGTATCTTTAATAATCAGCTTCATAGGTCAGTAAAACAAATGCCATGCAAGCAATAGCTGTGAAAGAAATGGCATTATTATATTGATTTCAGACAAAATAGACTTAAAAAAAGAAATATGTCACCATGACCAGGTGGACAAGTTGGTTGGAGCATTATCCCACACACCGAAAGGTTGTGGGTTTGATTACCGGTCAGGGCACATACCTAGGCTGCAGGTGCCATCCCAGGTAGGGGTGCATATTATAGGCAACTGATCTCTCTTTGTCTTTCTTTGAGTTTCTCTGTCTCTCCCCTCCCGGCCCCCCCCCGCCGCAAAAAAATAATAAGACATATCCTTGGGTGAGGATTTTAAAAAAAGAAATATGTCTGGAGACAAGAGTCATTTTAGCCTGATAAAAAGATCAATACACCAGGAAGATATAGTAGGTGTAAATGTACATACTTAACAACAAGTCCTCAAAGTACGTGAAGCAAAAACTGACAGAATCTAAAGGAGAAATAAGCAACTCAACTCATTTCAGTACCCCATTGTCAATAATTGATAGTACTAGGCCAAAAAAAAAAATTGACAGTCAACCAGTTGTACCTAACTCACATATATGGAACACACCAACCAAGAAAGAATACATATCTCTTCAGGTGCACATGGAACAATCTCCAGGATGTATCATCAGTTTGGCCACAAAAATAAATCTTATCACATTGAAAAAGATGGAAACAATACAATATATATTCTCCAGCCACAGTGGAATTAAGTTAGAAATCAGTACCAGAAAAAAATCTGGAAAATCCCCAAATATTTGGAAATTCAATATGGATTTAAAGATACTTGGACAGAGAGAAAATGGAAATATAACATATTTAAAAACTATACAGTGCAGATAGAGGGAAATTTATAGCTTTACACATTTATGTAAAAAAAGAAAAGTCTGAAATTGATGACCTTAAGAAACTACAAGAGGAGAAAATAAATCCAAAGCAAGCCAATGAAAGGAAATAAAGATTGAAGTAGAACACAGTAAAATAGCAATAAAATACAGAGAAAAACAATGAAACTAAAATTTTGGTCTTTGAAAAGATCAGTAAAATTGACAAACCTTTAGCTATATTGACCAAGAAAAAAAAAAAAACAGAGAAGATACAAATTACCAAAATCAGGAATGAAAGAGAGGTAATTTAAAAAGGATTGTAAGGGAATGTTACTACCAATTCTATGCCAACAAATTAGACAATTTAGATGCAATGGATAAATTTTTAAAATGATATAAATTATCAAAACTGATTCAAGGAGAAATAAAGTCTGAGTAGACCTATAACAGATAAAGAAGTTTGAATTAGTAATTTTCAATTGTTTGCATAATAAAGCCCAGCCCCAGATGATTTCACTGGTGAATTCTATGAACTATTTATAGAAGAATGAAGCAATAAAACCACTTTTTCCCATACTCTTTCAGAAAATAGGGGAGGGAGGAACACTTACCAACTCATTCTAAAAGGCTAGTGTCAGCCTGATACTAAAGACAAAAAGATACTTAGAAAACTATAGACTAAATTCCTTCATGAACATAGGTGCAAAATCCTCAACTACAATGTTATGATCATCAGCAAACTAAATAGAACCACCCACAAAAAGAATTATACCCCATCACCAAATGGAATTTATTCCAGAAATACAAAGTTGGTGTAGCATCTGAAATCAATCAGTGAAAGGCAGCATAATATCTAATAGAATAAAAGGAAAAAAAACCTTTTGGCATTCTGTAACACCTATTTATAATAAGGGATCTGAATAGACTACGAAGAGAAGGGAATTTTCTCAACCGGATTAATAGCATCTACAGAAACACACAACAAATCACATACTTAATGGTGAAAATTTGAATGTTTTCTCCCTAAGATTAGGAACAAGGCAATGAGGTTCTGCCCTCTCCACATGTATTCAACATTACAACCAGGCAAGAAGAAGAAAATAAAAGGCATCCAGATTGAAAAGGAAGAAGTAAAACTGTCTTAATATGACATCATCCTGTACATAGAAAATCCCAAGGAATCCACAAGAAAAACTACTAAAACTTTTAAACATATATAGTACGATACATATACAAAAATCCATTATATTTCTAATTACTGAGAATGAACAATCTAAAAATTAAATTAAAAAACCATTCTATTCACAGTAATATCAAAAAGAATAAAATGTAGTTGGGCATGAATTTAACAAAAGAAGCAAAAGATTTGTACATGAAAACTACAAAACATTGCTGAGAGAAAAATAAAAATCTAAATAAATGGAGAAACATCATGTGTTCATAGTTTGAGAGGCTCAATATTGTTAAGATGGCAATCCCCAAATTGACTTATAAATTCAAAACAATTCCTATAGAAATCCTAGCAGACTTTTTTTCAGAAATTGACAAGTTGGTCATAAAATTCACATGGAAATGCATAAGACCTACAATAACCAAGTCAGTTTTAAGAAAGAGCTAAGTCTGGGCACCTGACTGTCTCATTTCAAAACTTATTATAAATCTACAGTAACTATAGCGCATTATTGGAACAAAGATAGGCATATAGATCAATGGAACAAAATTAAGAATTTAGGAGGAAAAACCTTACATTGATCATCAGTTGATTTTTGATCAAGGTGCCAAGACATTGTAGTAAGTAAGGTACAGTCATTTCAACAAATTATGTTGGGATAATTAGAATCCACATATAAAAATTATCTTAGATCCTTACCTCAAATTACATTCAAAAATACACTCAAAATGGGTCAAAGACTCTAATGCAAGAAGGAAAACTTTTTAAAAAAGAAAAAAACCTCTTAGAAAAAAAGAAGAAAATATTCATACCTTTGAGTTAGACTTTTTGCATATGACACCAAAAGCACAATTCAGAAAAGTTGATAAATTTGACTTCATCCAAATTGAGAATTTCTGCTCTTTGAAAGTTATAAAAGAATGAAAAGACAAATAACAGAGTGAAAGGAAATATTTTCGATTCATAAATCTGATAAATACCTTGCATCCAGAATAATTAAAGAACTCTTAGAACTTAATATTAATGAAACAGCCCAGTTTAAAAATGGACAACTTAAATAGACATTTTGCCTATGAATATATATAAGGGGCTAATAGACACATGAAAAGATGCTCAACTTAATTAGTCACTAGGGAAATACAAATTTAAAATTTGAAATAGCACTAGAGTTATACCCACTATAATGGCTATAATCAAAAACACAGAGTATACCAAGTGTTGAGAATGTGGAGAAACTGAACCCCTCATACATTGCTAGTGGAAATATAAAATGGTACAACTTCTTTAGAAAATACTTTGACACTTTCTTAAAAAGGTAAACTTACTATATGACCCAGAATTCCATCCTTAAGAATCTATTTAAGAAAAATGAAAACATATTTCCACACAAAGACATTTACCACAGTTGTTCATAGCAGCATTATTCATAATAGCCAAAAGCTCTGAACAACCCAAATGTCTGTCAAATGGCAATGAATAAACCAAATGTGGTAAATCCATACCAGGGAATATTATTCAGCAGTAAAAAGACATGAAATGCTGATACTTGCTGGTACTTCTGTAAATGAACCTTATAAACATTATGTGAAGAGAAAGGAGGCAGACATAAAGGCCCCATGTTGTATGATTCCATTTATGTGAACTTTGGAGGAAAGGCCCAGAGAAAGCAGACGGTGGGAGCGGTGATGAACGGTAAATGGGCACAGGGAGTCTTCAGGACGATGGAACGGTCCTAAAATTGGATGGTGGATGTGATTGCTCATTCTATAAATTTACCAAAAATCATCAGATTGTACACTAATAGTGAATGAATTTTATAGTATGTAATTTATATCTCAAAGCCATTTTTAAGGACATTTTCTCACTTTCTTGGCCATTTGTGCCAAACTTGAAGGGCTGTGTAAGTTCTGATGCAACAAGGTTGACTTGTTTGTCTTGTCATAGGAACTTGCCTGGCTTGTGTTTAATGTTATCTGGCTCATAAAAATAATAATTGTAAAAGAAATACCTATTTACATGCCTGCCTTTGTTTCAAATACATTCCTCCAACACCTCTTTGTGTGTCTGAGTTCCATCTAAATGGCTTTTGATTTTGTCTTTGGCTGTGGTTTTCCTATTCATTCTGTTAGTGCTTATTTTTGAGTTTTCTTTCCAGGATAATACAAACTTTTAGAAACCACAACATGGAACAAATTTTATATACTTTTGATGTCTTCTGTTATCTTCCCAATGAAAATATGAAGTCTCATTTATTAAATGTACCTTAGTTTTAATTATATGCTTCTCTTTCCATTAAAAATAGAATATGCCTCTCTGGGATCACTGTATGATTACATTAACAGTAACAGAAGTGAGGAGATGGACATGGATCACATTATGACCTGGGCCACTGATGTAGCCAAAGGTAATAACAATGCTTGCGGCGCTGGTGGGGAGCACTCTCCCACCCGGGCAGCGGGACTTAACTCAGAGTTGTCATTCTGTGTCTTTCAGATATTCTTTCTTCAGACCAAAAGTAGCAAGAATTCTGCAACTTGTTATACAAATACTATCTTAGGTCATTGGCTTTCCACTTGTGCATTCCTTTTCTTTTTTTTTAACCTATGTCTTCCCCTGAAACCAAGTTCCAACAAAATCAGTGACTTCAGGACAGCCATTTTTACCACATTTTGTGCCATTGTAATTGACCAGCTTGCTTGACACATTAAGCGGAAAGAATCACAATTTCACAATTCTGTTATTGTTCTGCAGGTCTCTACAGACTCAGTACCCAGAAAACATGATTTTTGTAGGATTAGTTCTTCTCATTTTATATACGTAATAATACACTGAATCTAGTAACCACTTGCAAAAAAGATTATTTGTCCTACCATGTGCATGCAATTCAGATTTTATTTTATATTTAATGTAAACTTGGAAATCACCCTTGGAAATAAAACATTTTAATACACAAAATCCCTAAACAAGGTGCCCAGTTCTTTTTCCCCTCATAAATTCCTGCATAGACTAATGCTTTCTAAAACAATTTAAATTCCATTTATTTTTATCTTTTTTTCCATTTTCCTAACTGAACATTTCTGAGTTTTATTTATAACTGTCAAAGTTGCTTTGGAAACAACATAATCTAAATAATGAATGCTAATAGTTACATTTGTATTGTAGCAACCTCTAGAAAGCAAGTGTGTCCAAATTTTGCTTGGGCAATGAACTCCTTTACATTTTGCTTCTCCAGACTCTGTCAGCATCTCTTTAAAAAGCAAATATGCCAATATTTAACACTCAGAAAGAAGGGCAACTCCTACGTTGCTTTCACTGGGAAATCATACACTGGATTCCAAAAGTAATAGCCTTTCCTTTAGGGAATTATCTTGTGTTTTAAGTTTCATCAACACCTGCCAAATTCTTCAACTAAAGGAAGTGAAAATTTTTCTCAAGATTCATGTTAAATGCTGCTGCTGAATGATACTTCATTATCTTATAAGAATAATAAGCTCTATGTTTAGGATGGTGTACTTAAGGCTTTGGCTGTGTTAATTAACTTAATTGTGTATTCATGCATCAGGCATCTCAAATCAGCTTTAAAATTTCACATTCTTCAAGATATTTTCATGCAACATCAGAGTCACTTCTCTGCATGTCACTAGTACACCGGGACCACCTGTTTGTAAGCAGAGTGACATGCTATTCTTGGGAACTGTCTGGAGTTTGTGGAAATACACTGATGTCATGTAAATACATACGCAAGCAGCCCTTGACTGAAAGCACTTGGCCTTACAGACATTTGCATTTAAGGTGCTTAGCCAATAACACCTATGTTATTACTGAATGGCACTTAGGATGGACAGGCAGCAAATAAATCAGCTGATATTGGTCCCTCTGGTTCCTGCTGTGCACACTCTACTTAAGCTTGCCTGGCCCCCAGCCTGTAAACCCGTCCCTCCCAGCCTCTTCCCCTGCATAGTCCAGGTCTAAGGGCTAGTCCCTTGGCTCCAGATCAGCTCAGTGAGTCGTGGGGTTTCTCAAGACCACTGACACTCTCTATCAGGAGGACAAAAGAGAGAGAAAACAGGGCTAAGTAGCAAACTGGAACCAGAGGCAAAGAATAGGGGTAGACCATGGGACAGTGTCCAAAACTACAAAGTAGTAAGATCGTGTTTTTGTGGCTGGTGAATTGACCTGAAAGGCAACTTCTGATGTGTTTGGCGGATAGCTAGAGTGAGGCAGAGAAGATACTTGTTTGTTTGTAGTTACAAGTCATTCTTCGTATTTGAAATGGCCTATAAAAGGAAGAGGAAATCAATGCTATTGGAATGACTTCAACCCTCTCTGATAAAGCTATGTATAGAACTTGGAAATTAAATAGCAAGGCTTGATTGTCTTTGATTCTGCTATGAATTCAGCTATGTACCTTTCAGTTTGACCAGGACTGAAGCCACCATAGCAACAAGATGGTGAGAAATCAAAGAATGAATAACTCATTTCAAGTGAGAATTGCTTCATACATATTGACCTAGGCACTGCTTAACATCACTGCAGAGGGAATACCTCCTCAAAACCAAAAAGAGTCTGTTCTTTCTGGGTGGAGAGAGGAGTGGAGGAGGGCAGGACAGCAAGTATATCTGAAATTTTGCAAGTTAATCATCAGTGTGTAAGAGGAACAATTAAAGCAGATAAACCTGCACCGAGTCTCAGATGGTCGTCACTGATTCCAGATTTCTCCCAAATGACACCAGTCAAATCTTTTTTTAGGAAATCATGAATCTTAAAAACTGATGAAGGTATTTTTCAGCCTTCTTAATTGTTTGCAATAAAATAAGGCAGAATTAGAAATGGCTCTATAAAAACAAATTACATAGAATTTTATGTGATTGTGATTACTACTGTGTTTAAGAACTCTAAGTATTCTGGAAGTGTATGCTGCACATTATACACAAGTAATTTATGCTGCTTCTCATAACATCTGCCTTGAGGAAAAAAGTGCCAATATTTAAAGTCTTTGTACTTGAGTATTGTTTTTTTGAAATCTTTACTTGTCACTAGTGTAGAAACTATCTAGCTCTACCTCTGATAGTAATTAAACCAGTTCTACCTGGAAAAAAATTCAGGAATTTGATTGTTACAGCAAGAGAGAGATAACTATGAAATTCAGTCATAAAAATTACTAAAAGTTACCCAAGTTGTAGCTATTGAATTTTCACAGTTTACAATATGCAGAACTTCATATTAGAAGATTTCCTTTATTCTAATTACGTCTTGTTTAAGATCATTTAAATTACTAATTTGTTAAGTTGACTCTTTTTCAGGAATATCTTTGTATGGCAGGACTTTACATCTTTTTATATTCTTTGTTCTTTCATGATTCTTCAAAATGTAATAATCAGAATAGTAGAAAAATAATAGATTGTTTTATAATTCATCTTTATAAAACTGAAATTTTCTATGTACTTAAAAAAGAACCAGAGCCTACTTATTAAATTACGTTTAATGGATAATTTATTTTTAAAAGGAGCCTGTCTAATTTGGAAGGAACAGGGCTATTTCTTTTACTCTTTATAAAAGACAGCATGAGAAGTAAAGAGAGAAAATTTTCAGTAGAAAATTTCTTTTTCTTTATTGTAAGGGGGTAGACAATACATAAGTACAAGAAAAGGGTCAAACACTACTAAAGGGGTAAGTGTGCAATATGTGGCTTTCAAAGTATAATTTTTTATTCAAAATAATAAAACTCTACCTATTTTATATGCATCTAATTTACTGAAGTAATTTGATTTACATTCTAAACATGGTGGAGAGAATTTCAGAGTACCTATAAATAAAGGGTCTCTCAAAGATTTATTGTTGTAAAAGGAATAAAATATTTTGTAGCTACAATGTATTTTTTCTGTCCGAGGATCATAAAATCCTTTAGCAACCACACCTAATGAACCCAGCCAGTTCTCTGCCCCCCAACCCCGCCCCCACTCCCAGGGTCTCACTGGAATGAGCCCTGGGAAAATAAGCCAAGCTGCAACCAACTGGGTGACTGCAAACATTCAAATGAGAACTGAACACCCCGGTCAGAACTTAACAATTTAGAACGCAGTTGATAGTGGAATACCTTTGTCATTGGAGCAATTCTTCCAGTTGCAATTGTGCTATTTTCGTGCAGACTCCAGAAAATTAAGGTGTCCTTATTAGGTATTGTAAGAAGCTAGCTTTACCCTCAATCAAATTCCAGTTTCTAAGAGATGAAGACACATTATTAGGTTTTCCTCAGCATATACATTTTCCGTATGTAGACATATCTTACCTCTGTTTTATCCCTCCTAAGGTAGATGCATCTTGTCTCTGTTTTATTGAATCCTTTGCAAAACATGAATGGTATTGCTGATGTTTAAAATGGAAAGATAATATTGATACAATGTTGAACAATGATATGAACATGCTTTTCTTCTTCTTGTATAAAAAGGAATGCACTATTTACATATGGAAGCTCCTGTCAAGGTGATTCACAGAGATCTCAAATCAAGAAATGGTAATGTAGTCCTATGTTTTTACTTTTTCTACATTATTACAAAACGCCTGCACCTGTGCATAGAAAGAGGCGTCACGCTTTCCTTGTCTTTTGGAACCTGCTCTTTTGACTAACTGCTGACTGACACCATGAAAATCTTCCCACTGTTAATAAATATCAAACTTCTCCATATAATTTCAAGAGGCTACATAGTATTTCATTGTATGAGTAGCACAGAGTGTGGATATTTGGGTTGTTTACCTTTTTTTCTATGATTAAAAATGTTGAGCTTAATACTTCTCAGCAAAACTTTTCAAACATCCTTAATTATATTTTTAGAATCGTTTTCTAAAAGTGGTCTTGCAGGATCAAAGCACTCAGACATGTACTTCTAGTCTCCTATTTTTAGATGGTTCTCTGTACTAGCAGTTTTGAGTTTTGTTCTTGTTACTTCTGAATTATATGGTGTAAATTTTTTATGTCAGTCATATTACCTGGAGTAGTGCCCAAAAGTGTTCAGCACGTTTAGGAGTTTGGAAATTAAAGCCTTTGTTTTTCTTTCTTCTCTCCTTCAGTACTTTCTAAAGCTTATTTATGATCCTGTGTAGTCTGGAGAGAGAGTATTTTTAAATGACTTGCAGGATTAGACGTTACCTTCAAGGAGAAGTGGTAACAGAATGCTTCTTCCATCACGTCACTTGAGAGTTAATGGAAAAAGGCAGTGGGATTATTTTGCTAGCCAGTACTAGCTGAAGTAAACATCGGAGTTTGCTACTTAAAAGAAGAATCTTGCTATCAGTTCAATTACGTGCTTTCCTTTAATTATTTACATGTTTTCTAAGTGATTCTTCTAAGTCAGGAGGATGAGAGCTATTTATTTTTAGGAAATCTTTAAATCACTGCAGTTGAAATGGGTACATCCTAATAGAGTGATCCTTAGAATGGGTAGTTATGGTCAGTGGAGTGAGGGGAGTGGCGAACTGACCAGCTGCCCTTGCTCTTACTCCAACACTGTGGGGTTGGTGGGGGTGGAGACAGGGAAGCCGTTGGCAGCTGCCACTCATAGGTAGTCCAGGTTGTATCGCCGGCCTGACCCTGCCAGTTGGCTCTGGCTCACTGTTCTGTCCTTTTTCTAGGTCATCACTTATCCTTTGGCTCTTCTTAGACATAAAACTTCAGGAGCTAAACACGTTTGACATATATAGTTGGCTAACAGGGAGTCATTAAAAAATCATGTAGAATCTTGTAGGAAGTATTAGAGTTTTATGGCTTTGTAAATTTTCAGTTCATGCCCAGAATTTCTATCAAAACAAGTTATTTGACTTCTCTCCTTTTAATCTGCTTTATTTCTATATACTAAATATTTTATGAGAAGAGAATGATTAAATTACAGGTTTTTTTCATGCTGTCACTATGAAAGCTAAATAACAGTAGAGACTGTCCCCATTTTTTAAAACTACAATTTGTGGAGTTATTGATGGGAAAACACATGCACATTAAAACAATATAGACCTATTTTAACAATTTGTTTCTGGGAGAGGGAATAACACGACTTATTTTCTGTGTTATATATTTTTATAATCTTAGATATTTAAAAATGAGCACTTTTAATTTTATAATGAGTAAAAAGTAGAGGAATTTTTTAAATAACTGAATATAGTATTAATATTTATATTTTTATTTGAAATAGTTGATAGCTTGTATGTAGTATCACATTTACCCTTAGCCCATTTCTATATATTAGATCATGCAAAGATTACTTTTCCCACCACTTATCAAGGTTATTAGCTACGGCTAGTAAGTATTGATTATCTACCATGTCCAAGGCACTTGTGTGGCTTACAGAAGAAATGCTAAAAGCAGTTTTTTGTTCAGGTTCCTTTTCATCTCTCCCTTTATGTTTTTATTCTCTCTCTCCCATAAAAGCCCCATATACATAGTAACACCCCCAAACATATCCCAACTTCAAAACTATACAGCTGCCTACTTATTGGATGTGGCCACATAGACATTTTGTATGACCCTAAAATGTATTGAGTCCAAGTTAATCTTTTCTTCTTCTCTCTGCCTCCAAAAAAAAAAAAAAAAAAAATTCTTGCTTTCCCATTCCCAGAGAGTGGCAATACCAGTTGCCTAACCCAGGAATTAGGTGTAAATGAATTACAGCTTGATCCCAGAGCCCCAGTTCTAACCATTATGCTGTATCGCCTCCTTATTTGATTTCATCCTTGAGCCCTTCTCCCTCCATATCCAGTTTTTCAGGCCCAGCTGATTCTGCTTCTACATGTTTCTTGACTTTGGTCCACTTCTGTCCTGTCCTTTGCCACAGCCTTACTACAGGAGGCCTCATCTCCGCTCTTGGACTACAGCTGGCACACACGGCCATCTCCTTGCCTCTAGTTCGGTTCTTCCCTAATATACTCTCCCCACTGCACATGTGACCATTCATGTCTTCCCTAAAATTCATTCATTGGCTTTCTATTTCTCACAAAGGCTCTTCTGGAGCTAGCCCCTGTCTTCCAAAATTGCGTTCTTATTTTGTCTGCTGACCTTTTACAAGGCTTTTTTCTGCTGAGAAAAATACTTTTTCTCTCCCAGCTCTGCAATTTCTGGTTAATCCCGATTTGTTTTTCAGGTCTTAGCTTAAGCATCATTTCTTCCAGGAAACTTCCTCTGACCTCCTTAGGCTTAGATATCCCTGCTTGTTAGTTCCACAGCAATCTCTACATCTCTCACTGTGGAATTAACTCCACTTTATTACAGATGTGTGTTTTAATGTCTTGCCCATTAGGCTGTAAGCTCCATGAGTGCAGAGACAATTCCAGTGTTGCTCACCTTTTTCTTCTAGAATGTAGGACATGGCCTTGTTCAGCAAGTATTTGTTAAATGAATGAACGTATGAATAAATGAATGAATAAATATTGTCACTGCTTTCAAGAAAATTGCTCTTCAATAATGAGGAAAAAAATACATGTGCCATGAAGTAATAATGCTAGTGACGTCCTCAATATCGCACTGGCAGTTTAATGGTAGAATCCAAGTAAGAATTTGGTTCTCCTGACTACTATTAATCTATGACTTTTTGCTGGACAGCTACATTTGATTTAAATAAATGTCTTGGAAGCCTTTTTAAGCACCTCATGGAATTAGTTGTTTTTGTTCTAACATCAGTTCCTTTTTTCAAAATCTTCGATGTAGTGACTACTTTGATTTTACCTGTCATGATGCCATATAGAAGACATAAATAGAACTTCATGATTTTTTTCAGTATAAGATAACCCAAAGAAGATAATCGTCATAATTTATCTTTTATCTTTTTTTTTAGTTGTCATAGCTGCTGATGGGGTATTGAAGGTAGGTCTATTGGTCTATTTCTTTTAATTTTTTAAAAATTGTTAACTTCAGATGTAGTTATTTTATGACTGTTTTTTATTAGTCATTAATATAAAGTTGGTACTTATCTCTATTTTCTCAGATCTGCGATTTTGGTGCCTCTCGGTTCCATAACCACACAACACACATGTCCTTGGTGGGAACGTTCCCGTGGATGGCTCCAGAAGTTATCCAAAGTCTCCCTGTATCTGAAACTTGTGACACATATTCCTATGGTGTGGTGAGTTCTTTCTCACTTTTTCTTGCTAAAAGAAATACAAAAAGCAGACAACCTACAGAAGCAGGATGCAACAGTTGAACATAGTTAGGGCAGTGATGTTGTTTCTGGTGGAATGCCTGGAGCCATGGCAGCTACCTACTTATTGGATGTGGCCACAGAGATATTTTGTATGACTCTAAAATGTATTGAGTCCAAGTTGATCATTTCATCTCTCTCCCTCCTAAAAAAAATTCTTGCATTCCCTTTCTCAGAGAGTGGCAATACCAGTTGCCTAAGCCAGGAATTAGGTAAAAACGAATTACAGCTTGATCCCGAACCAAAGAATCAAAGAGAAGAACCGAACTAGAGGCAAGGAGATGGTCATGTGTGCCAGCTGTAGTCCAAGAGCAGAGATGAGGATGCCTGCAGGAAGGCTGTGGACAGGACAGAAGTGGACCAAAGTCAAGAAACATGTAGGAGGCAGAGTCAGCTGGACCTGAAAAATTGGATATGGAGGGAGAAGGGCTCAAGGATGAAATCAAATAAGGAGGCGATATATAGCTTGATAGTTATACCATATGCACTTGGCAGTTAGGTTTCCTTGGATCACTTTTACGCATCTGAGCTATAATATCCCACATTGAAAAGAAACCAGTGCCGCTTCTAGGAGGCAACTTAGATGGAACCTACACTGGTGTTGGGCCTGATGCAGCCCTGTGGTGAGTGCTTTCCGGGGTGGACATGTGACTGCAGAGTCTCTCTCTAAGTTAGTGATGCTGAGGATTATTTGGCACAGGACTTCATTGTAATGAGCTATTTAAAAACCACCGATAGATCTGCCAAATAGAACCTGTTGATTAACAGGAAATTTTTGAGTGCCAATTATTAAACTGATCAGTGAGTTTCTGGAAGGTACAGAAGAAAATGTACTTAGCAGTTAGCACATGGCCTTGCTCATGTCTGCTGCAAGCCTTAGAGAGCAGTACTGGCTATCTGAAACATGAATCCAAGGTATCGGGAATAACAACAGAGCAACACAGTTACAAGAATAGAACAAGGTAGGGGTAGGGGGAATGCTCAAGGAACAGAAGCCACAGGAATGAATCACTTAAGGAGCAGAAGCTTCTGGGGTTGGGGAAAGGTTCGGATCGGAGAATATGTTATATCTGAATTAGCAGAGAGAAAGAAGTGGGGGGAATGGTAGAAGTACTGGGGTGTGAGGGGAAGATGGGCAGGGCGGTTCTTTGGTGGTGGAAGAATTCATTTGTTCCCTTTTTTTGAGGATAAGTTTGTTATCCCTAAAAATGCTGTATATCCTTTAAAAAGTCCAAAACAGTACTTGGAACTCCCTTGTCTTCACATCTCATCTCTCAATTAGGTACTGCTTTCTCCATTTATATTATTACTTCTTAAAATCATGTTTTCATAATGGAAAAAGATACAGAAAAACTGTGGCCCAAATCAACATGCCTCTTCTTCCTGAACTTCTGTTTTCAAATGAAGGCAATAGCTGGCGGCACAAAGGGAGACCAACATTGTCAGCCTCATTTCTTTTGTGTTAGAGTTCATCAGTTTCTAGGTATTCACTGCAAGCTTCATTAGTTACTTATTGATTGTTTCAGTTGGCTAGCGTTTTCTAAATCACAATACGTCTGATATATACCAAATTAAATTAATATAGTGGAGATAAAGTTTGTTGACAGTTGGAAAAAATCATTTCAAGAATGAAGTATATGTTTTGGACAAAGGCTGGAATTATAAAGGTTGGAAGACAATAGTAAGCATCAGGCCACATATCTAATTTCACTTGATTCTGTGTGTTTCTAAGAATGAAGGCTATAAACCATTATAGACAGTGATCAAATAATTCTCATTGAAAGAAGTGGGGGAAAAAAGTAAGTTCCTGAAGAGACTAGATTTTGAAACTGGTCCCTAAGTCAAAAGTTACTACATTCTGACCATCCTACAAATCACTTGCTAGGGAGTCTGAAAAGGGGGGCATTTGTTGCAGTTTAAGACTTGTTGTGAGATTATTTTCTTTTATGAAGTTATGTTCCTTCATTTTTTGTGTGTTGCCATAGTTTTTATTTTTATCATTTTTTAATTTTAATTTTTATTGTATTTTTTCCATTACCATGTATTCCTACCTATACTTTCTTCTACCTCCACCCACCCCTCCTCCTCCCCGCAGTTACCACACTGGTGTTCATGTCCTTGAATTCGTTCTCTTTTTTTTTTTTCTTTTTCGCTTGATCCCTCAACACATGGCCCCCCTCAAGCCCCCATAGCTGTCAGCCTGCTCTCTATCTATGAGTCTGTCTCTATTTCGGTTGTTAGTTCAGTTTGTTCATTAGATTCCACATGTGAATGAGACCATATGGTATTTGTCTTTCTCTGACTGGCTTATTTCACTGAGCGTAATGTTCTCCAGATCCATCCATGCTGTCACAAAGGGTAAAATTTTCTTCTGTTTTACAGCCAAGTAGTATTCCATTGTGTAAACATACCATAGTTGTTTTATCCACTCATCTGCTTTTCCTTCATTTTAAGCAAAAATTTATTTATTGTGTCGGGCCCCGTGCTAGACATAACTTAGGGTAATTTAAATTTGGCTTTGCCTGCTTCTTGGAACCAGTGTTTCATTTTATCCTGTGGAACAGAAGCCAGCAAACTTTATCTATATAGGACCAGATAATAAATATTTTAGACTTTGAGGACCACGTATAGTCTTTATTGCCTTTTTTTTTTTTACAACCCTTCAAATATGTTAGAACCAAAAAAGTAAAATAAAATACAATAAAAATGTTAGACGCAGTCTGCATTCTGCGCGGCAGGCCACAATTTGCAGATGCCTCTGTGGATCGGAAGGGCTTGGAGGAGGAGCGACAGGGGCGGAGAAGAGCGCAGAGCCATCCAACAGGAGACCGCGGCTCTCACGGGTTCCCCCTGCCTGTGCATGTAAATGCCTATCAATACCTATCTGTGTCTTCACATATATGTAGGTAGTTAAAAAGTTTTTTTAATTATTTTGCATATTTACCTGAATTAAGACTGTTGAGACTCATTTTAGCACTTCTCAGGTTCTCATGCAGTGCTTTTATTTTTAAAATACCCCCCAAATCTTGGAATTTCTTGATCACAGAAGCTTTTGACCTGAAAGACAGTAACTGTGAGTTACGTATAGAGTGAACTTGTGGTTGTAATATTGCTTCATTTACAAAAACAAACTGCACGCTGCCTTCTTCTAAACTCTTAGAGGACTGGCGTGAAATGCACCCGTACCTGCTTTTCCTTAGCTGAAGTAGAATCTTAGTTGCAATAACCGAAAAAAACAAATCCCTTTTCACACTTAAGCCTTAAAAGATGTTGAGAAGTGACTTCTATGTGGGAGGGCGCAGTGTTTTTTCTTATATTATTTTAAAATCCCTTTCACTCATTTCCATTGACCCCTCATATTAAACATAATTTGAGTCACCTTTCTGAAGCTGCCAATGTTTAGTTTGGTTTATTTAAAAGCTTTCTTTTAAGTGACTGTGCCCTGCTTTTCAGTAGGCGGGCCTGAACATTTCTCTCTGCAAATTAGGTCTTTTACTTGTTTACTGACCCTACCTTTGTTTTGTTTTGAGGGTTTTAACAAAAGCTTAATAAATGGTTCTGTCAAGTAATTTAACTTACCAGCAAACTTTATGGCCAGTCACTGGACGTTCCCAATGTTGCCCTTTATTTACATACCAGATGTTGCTCTTCAGAACCTGTTTGCTCTGGTCACATGCTTTTGAATATCAATTTTATGTTCATGTTAGAGTGTTCTTTTCACTGGTGCAAACAAAAAATTCCTTTTCAATGACTCTGGGTTTTTTTGTTTTTTTGTTTTTTTTAAACAGCTTCTGTTTCACTATATTGAAGAGAGTGCTGGTTATTCTTACCCCATAGCTCTACCGGCAGAATTCCATTCAGAAAAGTATACAACACCTAATTTAATTATAGGTAGAAATTCGGGATTTTATTTCATTCTGACCCCTTCCCACATTCTGTTCTAAATAAACACCAATTAGTGAAAGAAGAAGCACAAGGCCTGCTTTCCACAGCCTTTTTGTTTAAACAATCACAATTTCTCTTGAAAACAAAGAAAGTATTACCTGTTCAACGAAGGTATTGCCTAGAAGAGCAGGACAGGACAGTTTTGAGGGCTGTGTTGGTTTCAGAAGCTGTAGTGTATGTATAAACTTTGAAAATGATACCTGGCTAGGAAAGCAGTGTGGTTATTTAGAAATTTTGATGTCCTTTCAAAAATAGGTGAGTGGCTGGGACTCATTTCTCAGCAGGAGCATCTCTTTGCATAAATTACCCCATAACCTATTAAAGCTCTGTTTCGTTCACTGAGCCCTCACACACAACGGTCATATACAGATGCCTAAGACCGTTTTTAAAAGGTGTCCTATTTTGGAAACCACCCCAAAAATCCCAGTGTATTTTTCCTTTTGTTGTTTTATTTTTCTCAGACTTGCTGTAGGAATTTAGCCCCTACTATTATGAGAAGTCCCTGGCCCTCCCCAGCTTGCTAATCCCATAGCTCCTTAACACATGGCAAGACTACCAGCCCTAAAATAAATGGACTGCAAATGCCAGGAATGGATCTTGTGATCCTTCCTTCTAAGCCGGTACACTTTGCTAGGCAGGCAATTGTTTTTCTCTCTCTATTTTATAAGACAAGAGATTTTTCTACCTCCTTCTGATGACTTCTCTTAAAAGGACCAAACTAGGAGTATTTAGTATATTACAAAAAAAAAGAGAGAGAGAGAGACTTAAAGCAAAAATCATCAAAAGAATAAGACTTCTGAGAACACTCTTTGAAAACAAAGCTATCCTGATGAGCATGCAGAAAGCATTACCTTTTTGGAAACTTCTCAGCCAAAGCCAGGTTTGAAAATCGAGTAGCATAAGAGAGCATCAGCGCCCCACTGGCCTGCAAGCCACGTTCTAGAGCAGGCCCCACTCAGGTAGTACCTTTCCATTGTTTGTAGAAGAAAAGGCAGGAAAAGTGCACAGCCTTGCCCAAGTTTCTCTTCTGTAAACTGAAAACAGAGAATTTCCTTGTGAGCAGTTGTAACGTGAGGACGTCTCAATATAAAACAAGTTGGAAATATTTTTAGGGTTAAAGAGCACAGTGTTTGGCCTGCATCGCCATAACTGATATTTTCAGGCAGAGTTTAATGTGTTTTTAGACCTCCAAATGACTTCCTCAACTGAGTTACTTTTTTGTGCCATATGTCATTGGGATTAGTGTGGAAAAAGCTGTTGTCCTATCTCATACCATCTTTTTTACATTCTTGAATCTGGGGGATTAACAGTAGGAAATCAGGAAATGGACTGATACTGGAATTAAACTAGAGACCTCATCTGGGCCTCAGAGCCGAGCAGTTAATGATGCCATCCTTGACAGTTCTAACCTCCATCATGTGGCTCCCTCACCAGTAGTAGCTCTCTAGAGACATGGAGAAGGAGTAAAATGAAACTGTCTTATTTTTCCAGAGTTAGAACTCTTAGAGAAATATAACTAGGATCTTATTAGATTTTGGACACTTTCCAACTGCATATTTTGGAACAAAGAATGACGTAAATCTTTTTCTGGTGTAATCCCCCAAGCTCTTGGTCTTGCGTTTTACCTCACAAAACCCAATCGTTCTTCATGTATGGACGTGCACAATATATTGTGCATGCAGGCCAGACGCCGTGAGGAGGGGGCCACAAGGCTGCTCAACCGAACCTTTTGGGTCTGGTACAGTTGATTTATTTGAGGCTGATTCACTATTCCCATTCTGCTTAGGAATGTCAAGTCCATTAATTTACTTACTCTTCATCTCCCTTCCCCTCCCTAACCCCAACACCAGGGGAGTGGTAATTGCAACAAATGGAGGGGCTTCATTTCCCGCTCAGCCCTCCCATGCCCCTCCCTGCTCCCCTGGGCAGGCAGTGTGTCAGGTGTGATTGCATACCTGTCTCGTCCGTCCTTTACTTACAGTGTACGCTAGAATCATCCCCTTCTGGGATGCCCCTTACCTCTTCCTAATCACTTCCCTTACTCAAATGGAATTATTCAGTAGCTCCTCGAAAGACGTAGCTCCTTACACACTTGATTAAAAGCCCAAAGAGGCTTCAGTGAATTTTTTTTTCTCCTGCTTGAGCAGCATCTGCCAATTTCCCCACTTTTACTGCTAATTATCTTCGTGTTCACCCGAATTCATTTAACAAGTTGTGACTTGAATAACATGTATGCCTCAAACAGCATTGGCTGAGGAAATAGTGGTATAGAGTTAAAGGTTTATAGGATTTGCTTGAGTACAGTATATGTCTTCAGTCTACATTCCTCTTTAAAACCAGAGAAATCTAAATCAAAACTGCTGAATTTGTTTCTGCCATGGCCACATACCTAAAATATGGCATGTCACGCTCTCTCTTGTGCTTCAGCTTTTTCTTCTCTAGAGCTAGAGGGGGTTAAGAACTTGACCTTGAGAGTGAGACAGCAAGTTCCTATTCTAGATCTGCTACTTGATAACTGGATAACTGTCTTTGGGCAAGTTTATTCAACTTTCTTAAGCCTTAGTTTCCTCATCCATAAAATGAGAGTAACATCTCTCCAATGGATTGATATTAATGTTGATAACATATACAAAGGGTTTAACAGTACATAGAACATAATCAATCAATGAATGATAGTGGTTGTTATTGTTATTGTTGATAAAATTATAATTGTTTTTGCACTTCACCAAGTATTGGTAGACTCAATTTTGATACTCATTTGTGTAAATAGAGAAAGTAACTGGGTGTAAAAATCTCCATTACTCAGTGTTTAAAGTGAAACCAAAAACATTGGGTGTTTTCAGCCTTCCCCAGAATCAGTTTGCTTTCTTTGGGAATGCCAGTACAGATTTATTAATCATGCTGGTCTCAAGGCTGCAGAGAGATGCACACACACATGAGTTCACACATGTACACACTCAGCCTATATATGTACATAAAGTATTTATTACATTTAGAATATAGTATTAACAAATTATGTTATAGGTAGATGAAAACAAACCCCTTAGACTAACTCATCTGAGATTTCTCCTAAACACAAAATCTAAATGTTACAATTTTGCAAGTACTACGATTACGGGGTAAGTAGTTTCGCCAGTGATTTGGATTTGGGGCTTGATTATGAGACCATACTGAACCTTTAAAAATGTGGTTGAATTCACAGTTATTATTTATTTTAAAGAGAAATTTATCAGGGATTGAAGGTAGAAAGAGTTTTGACTAATAAAATATAAAATCTCATTTATGGGAATGTGTGAGTTCTAACAACCTACCAGACTAAGTTAAATCCGTTATGCCCATTGGTTTCATGAGATTTTAAGTCTGGCTCTAGATGTTCTAATTTCTAAATTGGAATTTTTATTTTAAAAAATTTATATAATATATGGAAGGAGTTCTGTGCATGAATATATACATTTTGCCCACGTTTCCACAGATGGGATTGGTTGTGTCTGGTAATTGGATACAGTTAAATGTTAGATGAAGTTGCAGTAATATGCCAAAAATATAAAGTACAAGAATAAAAATTCCACTTTCTTTTTGTTCCAGGTTCTCTGGGAGATGCTAACAAGGGAGGTCCCCTTTAAAGGTTTGGAAGGATTACAAGTAGCTTGGCTTGTAGTGGAAAAAAACGAGGTAAGACTACGATTCTCCATTCAGGTACATAGATCAGAAAACAGTATTGGGGTTTTGCAAAAGACTTTTTCATCTTCTTCAAATTGAAAGTAAGTTCACGCTTATGGAAAGATTAGCAGTAGGAGCTAACACAAAGGGTCAAAGTGATGTTATTCCTCATGAATGGACCCTTTACATCTAATTGTTGCAGCTTCACGTCGTGATGCTGTAGATCAAAAATTGTACAAGTACTGTACTAGTTTCTCAGTCTCAATTGTAAAACCTAGGGGTTTGTTCTTAGTGATGAAAGAAGCCATTGCGTCCAAGGTAGGGGAACAGTTTAACTCCATCTCCTGCGTTTAGGACATCTTTTTTACTGGCTGGGAGTCGATATATCTGTAAGAGACCTTCAGCTACTTCAACTTACCTCTCCCAGCAGGAGTCACTATAGTACAAGAAACTGTCGCTCAGATGAGAATTTCAAAAATAAAAGAAGAAAAAATAGTTTCAAAAAAGGGAAAAATTACAGTTTTGCCACCTACGTTGAACACTACATTGAAGATGAGCTCCTCACTGGAATTGGCGAGGCAGTGGCATAACTGTTCGCTTCTTCATGCAGAGCCTTTCCATTTCAAAAGAACTTCAGTGGCGTAAACACCGTTTGTGCTGTGTCCCCAGCCTCGCTTTTCTTCTTTCCACAAATTGAGGCTTTCAGTTAGTTGGACCTATGAGCCTACATCAGAGAACATGGTACATTCATATCAAAGGGAGCAACTACATTTTGAAAGGTTTAAAATTGTGACTGAAACGCACAGCCATGGAAATTTTCAGCATAAGGATGAAGCATCCACTATCAAGGTATTATGAGAACTTAGATCATGTCGTGGAAGCACACAGTTGTCGTTGCAATGCAAAACAACTTGATTTCACAAAACTTCTCCATTTCCAGACCTTACCTGTGCCCTCCACAAAGGGTAAGAGTGTAACCTGAGGATAAAATAATTTGCAAAAGGTGAATATATAGAGAGGAATAGTCCCTTTTTAATACTTTAAAGGAATTAGATTGACCTGCTCCCCATGTGCAGGAGCAAACTAGATTAATCAAACAGCTGCTATTGACTAAGAGAAACCAAGTTTCCATATTTTAGATCACATAATCCAGAGTTATTAATTTGTCCTCCTGAGCCTTTGAGAATGGATGAGATGCTCTGATAGCTGAACTAGATGAGGGAGAGCTGCCAATTTAAGAAAAATGAGGAGTTATATTCAAGAATGTGTCATACTCATTGTTTCACAGGAACTGCTCTGTTTTAATTAAATGTGAGAGTAATTCCTGGTGTGCTATTAAATCAGACCTTGCATACAGGAGAACTGGTATTTTCATGATATGAGAACCACTTGTTTCTGTTCTGTTTATTTTGCCAGTGAACTGATTATATACTTGGTTCTAGGTTTACAAATAAGAGTGAAGAAAATTATTGACCTTCTGTTGACTGTGGAGCAGAGCACTTGATGTCATTTTTTCCCTCTACCTTGTTTCAATATAAACTTTTTTTTAAAGCTGACTGGACCCTCCAAATGTGTATAAGACAGAATAATTAATATTTTTAAGTAATATTTTATCTAGAGGATGGGAGAACAGGTATAACTTTAAAGCACTTTGAAAACATAGGAGTATCCATCAAGGAATTTTAAAGCTGAAGAGAAAAATCAATTGAGAAGGTGCCTTTGATAGTTGACTTGACAGCTGGGAATCACCCTTAAATAACCTTCAAAACCTCTTCGATGTGTATGCAAGGAGGCCATCTCCCCCTCCTCCCCAGGGGTCCCCTGAAGTAGAGTGTACTGCTTTACCCACAGAGTGATCGATCTTATGATCAGCTAATAACTGATGGAGGCTACACAAATATCTCCCATACTATATTTATTAAATGTACTAGTTGGTTGGAAAAAAAAAACCCCACATGGCGAAATAGGTTTTCTCAATATCCTAATGAACTTCAGGAAAATTGGGTTTTACCAGGAAACTTATCTGACCGTTCTTATCCTGGACAATATTTATTTGTCAAAAGTATGGAAATTAGATGTAAATATAGTTTCCATTGTCATTCAAGATGTCTTGGGTTATTGAGTTGAAAAGACAAAGCTGTATTTTTTTTTAACAGGCTTCATTTAAACAAAGAATAGTATACTTAAACTTTCAGGGAGACATTTAAAAATGTGAACAGTCATCCTAGAATGTACTATATCCAAATATTAGGGTTATCTGCTCTTGCTAACATTTTAATCTTAAAAAAAATAAGACTTATAGGAAGTTGCAAAAATATTGCTAAGAATTCTGTGTACTCTTCCCTCACCTTCCCACTGACAACATGTTGGTATAGTATACTGTCAAAACCTGGAAATTGACATTGATACATTACTCTTAACTAGACTGTAGACCTTATTTGGTTTCACTATTCAAGATTGGGTTTTGCATCTATAGGAAGATCAATATTTTCTAAAAATTATATCTGAAGTTCTTTGCTTCTAAACCCTGCATAATGAAGATCTTTAAACAATAATTTTAACTAATATTAAATACTATTAAAACTAGATGCATAAAGCACTGTTACACTTTACAAAACAAACAATGAATCCTTATAGAAGGTATGAAATCAAGACAGCAATGCTAATAAATTTTTTAAATGGAAAAGATATGTATATTTGTGTTTATAATTAACAGAAAACTCATGGTCATTCAGAGTGTTCTGGCAGCATAATTTTTATCTTTATAAATACTTAGATTCCCATATAAAATTGGTTTTGTTCTAAGTAGCAAAACTATTAGTCTTGTTTAACATAGAAATCCTCAGAAAATTTAAGTAATTGTTTTTTACTATACTTTAGAAAAAGGTAATAATCTTGACTTAAAAAATAATTTTTGCGTCTTACATAGAAAATGGCGCAAAAGAGACTATGATCTTTGATGCTTTTTAATGCACCAAAATAATCTCTTACATAAAGTGTCTCAGTCTACATTTAACTGGTATTTGACAACCATGTCAGATCATTTAAATTAATTATGTCTCCTTGTATAATGTCTCAGATGTGGTATCTAAAAGTAAGAAAAGATGATAGAAATGATTGATATCCATATTCATCCTGTTCAGATTTCAGTTATTAGGAAAAAATGTTGAGATAAAGTTGTATTGTAAATGTTATCCTGTATGAAAAATTATTTTTAATTACACATGAGGTACATTTAGCTGCATAATTATAATTACTGTTTTGTTTTAATAGTTGCCACCCCCAACCATCTTATATTTTTTTTAAAAAGTAAACACCTGATTTTTCTTTTAACCTCCATCAAAAGCTTCCAGTCCACATTACAGTAAAGTAATAACACAGTTCATTAGATCATACGCTATTCTGTAAAATCACAAAGCTGGAAGTTAAAAAATCCTTAGCATGGCCTCTAACATGGAGAAGGTTTTTTTATTTTATTATTTTATTTTGTTTTATTTTGACTTTGAGATTATCTGTAATTCTAAGTATAGATTGTCTGTTTTCTTACCAAGGCAACTATTTTTCTAGTTTTACGCATAGCCTCCCCCAATCCCACTCAGTTAAGCTTTAAGTTTCTTATCTTCAAAACTTCTTTGGCAAACAATAGTGTGGAGTAAATGTTCTCAGTACTTGTTAGTACGGCAGTCCTAACTCTATCACATCCAGTGCCCTTTTTATAGCAGCCGTGTTAACACCCCCTCTACTTGCCTGAAATGAAATTCAGAGGTAATACAACCTACCTACACACATTATATTTTAAGTCAATATAATGCTCTAACTGTAATATAAAGGAGAAATTAATGAAATATTTATTGCAATGTGTAAATGCTCAGGCATGACCATAGTAGATCATGGAGCAATTGCGGGTGTTTGCCCCTATGGATAAATAGACTTCAACAGCTACAAATGCAGAGTAGAGTTGGGTTAATGACTCCACTATCATGCATGAACAACACTGTTGTTGGTGACAGATTTCCAGCATTTTAGTTAGGTTATGAATAATGCAAAACTCAGTCGGCCCTGCATTTATTTTATTTGGTAGTTGCATTCTTAGAAAGTTCAGTGCATTTAAAAGCTGTTCAAAACATACTTTGTGTTTATTTGTAAGTCAGAGTTAGATTCTAGGCTCAGAAAATTGTAAACCTCATTGCTTGCTTATTTGACTTTCATGAATGCACATGGGGCTTTAGAAGTTTGCTGGAATGTAAGAGTTCTTCATGCAAGACTTTACCATATGTTGGAGGCTAGCATCGTTGACCTGCTCCAGGTGCAACCCTCTCCTCTCCCCCCAGTTTTAAAACAAACAAAAATGCCTCCATAGATTTCTAAATAGCCTCTGGGAGCATTATTACACGTTCTATGAGAACCACTACTGTAGAATGTTAGAACAGGACTGATCCTCACATTGTAATCTTTGTTGTATCAGTCCTTACAGTTTATGAGTTTGACTAAAACCAAGCCATAATGAATCATACATTCAGAATGGCCTGTTTACCAGTGGCAGAAGGCACACTTCATTGAAATTATCTCTGTGATTGTAATGAAGATGTTATGTTCTTACAGTTGTCGATCTGCTGCCAAAGCTGAACTAGTTTCCAAGCTGCCTGGCCTGTTTGCATATTTCATTGTTGTCTGTAAAAGTGCTGTGATAGATTTGTGGTTTTAGAATTTGTATTTAAGTTCAAACTTGCCCTCCTCCTACCATAGTTTCTTTTAGACTTGATTCTATATTTACAGTGTTTGTTGTGCTGAACCTGATTCTCCATCCACTGTGACTCCTCTTTAGAGGAAAAGTGTAAGTGTCGATAGTAATACAGACTTCCAGTCAAGATGGCAGAATAGGTGAACACAGTTCGCCTCCTTGCACAACCACATCAAAATAACAACTAATATATAGAACAGCCATCACTCAGAACCATCAGAAATCGAGCTGAATGCAAGTTTGACAACTACAGAATTAAAGAAATCACATTCATCCAGACTGGTAGAAGGGGCAGAGATGCAGAACGGGCTGGTCCCACATTCACATATGGTGGATAAAAATTTGGGAGTGGTATCGTGGGAGCAACAAGTCTCAGCCCCACACCAGGCCCCCCAGCCCAGGGTTCCAGTGCCAGGAAGATAAGTCTTCATAACTTCTGGCTACATAAACCAGCAGGGAATGAGTCAATGGAAGAAACTTCTGGAGTCCCAAGTAGTTCCCCATAAAGAACGTACACAACGGACTTACTCATATTCACTCATATTCACTCTGAGCTCCAGCACAGGAGTAGCAGCTTGAAAGACACCAGTAACCTACAGGGAGGAACTAAAGTGTCTGGCATCAAGGTGAGAGCTGGAAGATAGTTTTCTCTCAGACAAAAAGGTAGGCAGAGGCCATTGTCCCTTTTCTGAACCCTCTCTCCACACAGCCACAGAACTGGCAGGCGGGTGCCATATCTGAGACTCCATCAACCTGGCTATCACTGTTTGCCCCACTCTGGAGATCCCCTGAGTCTCTGTCCCATCGAACTTACAGGCCCACCCCAGCTGTTAACAGAAACTTTTCCATATGAATGGCTGGTCTTGTCTCATGCTTCACCACTTCCTAAATCCTCTCAAATAAGCAATAGCCAGCTTCAGTGAGCTCCCAGTCCCTGTACCTCTTGCTGAGTGGCCCCAGGCCCATCACTAGCAACAACCAGCCTAGATTCACAGCTTGGCTTTGCCTGGGAATCTCCAAGCCCAGCACAAGTAGCAGCCTTCTCAGATTGCTTTATAGCTCATGCAGGGTGGCTCTGGCCAGGACATAGGTGGGCCAGACCTTGGCCTGCACCACCTGGGAAACTCCAGAGCCTGCTCACTCAGTGAACAGCTACAGACCACATCAGGGCACCACCACCCTGCCCCTGCACAGCTGATCTCCCGTGGAGGGTGGAGGTTGGTGGTCAGTGGTCACAGCCAGTTCTTGTGACTGAGTGGCCTGGGTAAATCCCTCCCATTGACCTGCCAACAGCAACCAAGGCTCAACTGCAAGAGAAGAGTATACTCAGCCCACACAGAGGGTGCACCTTGAGTACCCTGCTTGGGTGATAGGGGAGGCTGTGCTACTGGACCCTATAGGACATCTATTACTTTAGGCCAGACTACCAAGACAGGGAATCATAACAGCTCTACCTGATACATAGAAATAAACACAGGGAGGCTACCAAAATGAGGAGACAAAGAGACATGTCCCAAATGAAAGGACAGATCAAAACTCCAGAAAAAGACCTAAACAAAATGGAGATAAGCAATGTATTAGATGCAGAGTTCAAAACTCTGGTTATAAGAATGCTCAGAGAACTTAGTGAGGACCTCAGCAGCATCAAAAAGATCCAGTCATAAATGAAGGATACAGTAATGGAAATCAGAAGCAATTTACAGGGAAACACCAGTAGAGTGGATGAAGCCAAGATTCAGATCAATGATTTGAAACATAAGGAAGCAAAAAACAACCAATCAGAACAACAAGATGAAAAAAGAATCCAAAAAATGAGGATAGTATAAGCAGCCTCTGGGACAACTTCAAGCATTCCAACGTTCATATCATAGGGGTGGCAGAAAGAGAAGAGAAAGCAAGAAATTGGAAACCTATTTGAAAAAATAATGAAAGGAAACTTCCCTAATTTGGTGAAAGAAATAGACATACAAGTCCAGGAAGCACAGAGAGTCCCAAACAAGATGGATGCAAAGAGGCCTACTCCAAGACACATCATCATTAAAATGCCAAAGGTTAAAGATAAAGAGAATCTTAAATGCAGCAAGAGAAAAGAAGTTAGTTACCTACAGGGGAGTTCCCAAAAGACCAAATGTCAGCTGATTTCTCAAAAGATACTTTGCAGGCTAGAAGGGATTGGCAAGAAGTATTAAAGTCATGAAAAGCAAGGACCTACACCCAAGATTGCTCTACCCAGCAAAGATATCATTCAGAATGTAAGGGCAGATAAAAAGCTTCCCAGACAAGAAAAAAACTAAAGGAGTCCATTATTATATGATATGTTAAAGGGACTTACTTAAGAAAAGGATCAAAACTATGATCACTGAAATGGCAATAAATATATATCAGCAAGTGAATCTAAAAAAACAAACTAAGCAAACAAAAAGAACAGAGACAGATGCATGGATGTGGTGGAGATCATTTTAATGGGTGCCAGAAGGGAGGGGGTAGAGGGGGAGGGGGGAATGGGTGAACAGGTAAGGGGATTAAGAAGTACAAGGTGGTAGTTACAGAAGAGCCATGGGGTTGTACAGGACAGTATAGGAAATGGAGTATACAAAGAACTTACATGGATGACCCATGGATGTAATCAATGGTGTGGGGATTGCCTAAGGGAGTAGGGGATTCTGGGTCGAGGGGGCAAAGGAAGAAAAATTGTGACAAGTGTAATAGCATAATCAATAAAAGATAATTTAAAAAAGAAAAGTGTAAGTGTCTTTAGAGATTAAATATTGTGAATCTAAACATAAACCCTCACCTGACATATATTAATCAATGGAAGATTTAAATTTAATGCCTTCCTTTATGACCTTTCAATTAGCATTTTCTTTCCTTAACCAGTAAATCCTATGTTTTCTTTTGTTTAACTTTCTCTATTGTAGAGATTAACCATTCCAAGCAGTTGCCCCAGAAGTTTTGCTGAACTGTTACATCAGTGTTGGGAAGCTGATGCCAAGGTATGTATATATTTTTTTGTTGCTGTTGTTCAGAACTCTGAAATTACACTTGTTTGTTGGGCTTTGAGTTTTTAAAATGGGGTAATAATAACCCCTTTATTAAAATGGGGTAATAGTAACCCCTGGAGAACAGGAATGGCAGTCCAGCTTTGCTTTGTAATGCTGTTACAGCCACTGCTATTCCCCAGGTCAACTGTTCAGGCTTTCTGTTGACATCTGCTTATCTTGATCCTAGAAACTCAATAATGTTGGCTCTTTCTTACAGCACTCTGACATCTTTAATAATAACTATTGCACCTTCATGTTATAAAGATGGCTAGCATACAGTGCTTATTATATATATCAGGCACTGTTCCAAATACTTGATGTATATGAACTCATTTATTCCTCAGAAAAGCTCGATGAAATAGGTACTGTCATGATCCTCATTTTATAGATGAAGAATCAAGGCACAAAGAGGTTAAGTAATAAGCTCAAGGCCACACCTCTACTAAGTAATAGGGCTGGACATGAACCCAAGCCATCTGATGGAAGTCCCTGCTCTTAGCCACTACACTCTATTGCCTTTCTAACTAAAGACCAGAAGTAGCATTCAAGAGATTCTTGACACACACTTCCTGTCCAGTTTCAGTGATGTTTTTTAGTCTATCACAATAGAGTTGGAAAAATTCCAACACTGAGACTTTCATGTGGTTATCACATTTGAGCATGAATGGTCCATTTCCTTTCCCTACAAAGATCAATTTAACAAACTCTCATGTACATACAGAAATATTTATAGATACAATGATAGGCCAGCCTTAGAATTACATCAGAATAAAGGGAAATGGATGATGGTATATATGAAATAAGATTAACATGATAATTTTTGAAGCTGAGTTATAGGTATATGAAGGTTCATTATACTGTTCTTTTTATGATTGTATATGTTTGGGATTTTCCATAAGTTAAAAATAAAGATTCTCACAGATAAAACATTACAATAAGAGAGAATTATACTCAAGAAAGGAACTAAAATTTTATAGTTTCAATTTTTCCAGTTTTTCATAAAAATAGATATATTGCAGCTTGATCTTTTAAATAGAGATCTAAAAATAAAAACTTCTGAATGGAATTTCTTCATTAATTTTAATCAGTTCCAGTCTGACCTTAATCAGTTCCGGTCTCTGAAAGAAGAGTGAGTGATAACATATAGTCTCTTCCACATGCTTCCCTAGTAGGAATAACTTATAAACAATTAGTGAGTATAGAAATTGTGTTACTATAACTCAGAATTTTTCATGAATCATATATAAAGTTTCCCAGCATTGTTCTGCACTGCCAAGTGGGAACAGCTGGGCATAAGGTACAACAAGGTAGCCAACATTGCAGCAAGCGAGGCCCCTTCACCCCACGTACTCCCTGTTGGCGGGTCCGTGCAGTGCTTTGCCTTAGACGTGTTCGTTGCTGGTTCTCTCCAGCCTTGAGCATTTTGCCTTTCCTCTCATAACCAACAGTGCCAACCTTGGCTTTTACTTCTGTTCATCAAACTGCCTTCACCCCTTTTGAAAGAGACCTATATTTACTTAGTATTGTTTTTATTAAGATTTTTTAACTGTTAAATAACTTTTCATTTAGGATAGCTATTGTTTTTATTAGTATTCTCTGACAAAGTTGCATAGGTTTTGAGTGGTCCATCCTATTCCTGTTTTGACCCTGTTGTTTTAGAATGTGATTTTGCAGAACATGGGACTTTTTAAGCATCAAGAGAAATGCCTACGTTTTGCGACTCATCCGGTAGAAACTCTAAGTGGCTACTTGCAAGCTTTCACTAGAGCATTTATTTTATACTGTTAAAATGGTATCATGCTACCCTTTTCATACTCTTTCTACCACGTACATGTCCATTGGGACATACACATTAATTTTGTCCGTGTTTTCCTCTCTGACATTTAAAAAGAAATTTCACCTGAAATTATTTTCATTGAATTAGATTAGTGCAACTAGACCTCCATAATTGTAATTATATTTCAGTATGCAAAGCAGATTTTTAATTTCTTAATCAGAATCTCTGTAGTACCTTAATTAAAATTCTAAGAATATACATTTATGGTGTATTAATTAACTGATAGCGTAAATACCACAAGGACATTAGGCCCAGGGTTGGTGCCATGAGGTTGGCATGTCTTTAACATGTAGCACTGAACTTCCTTAGGACCAAAGGAATCTAGTGTTCTAGTCATGCAAAATATAAAGAAAGTTTGATTTTTATTCCCTCAATTCATGACATTTCATTCTGACAAAACTAATGCACGGCCCCTGAACTTCCCCCGATTGTACGCCCAGCGGCAGCCCACCGCCCGGCTCTCACGGCCGAGCTCCCCGAGGCGCACCTCCCACACCTTCGTTCCCCAAACGTGCCCTCCCTTCTTTCCTCTTCTTCCCTGGTCACTTCGTCATCAGGCTTCCCTGGTTATTCTGTCTACCCCAGTTAATAATAATTGTTCCTTTTTCTAAACCACAATCTGGGCTAATGCCTTGGCTTGTACTGTTGTATTTTTAAAAATATCTTTTCTTCCTGAATTGATTGCAGCTTCTATAAGAGAACATTGATGTGTGTTTCTGTGTTGCAACCTTTCAAGGCCAGGCAGGTTCACTCAGGATTCGGGCAGACAGAACAAAATGCACGGAGCTCGGGGATGCCTGACATGCCTTTATTCGAGGGTGGGGCTATCCATGCATGACATGCCACAAGTCGTGTGTCACGCCAGCAGGGAGTCCCAAAATCCTTATATATTAAATGTACACAAAGCTGGCAGGGTGCCAAGAGATTGTATAACAGGGCGAGACTCTGCACATGTGGGCCCACTCAAGGTTATAGAAATACTGCTTCTCCGGCCCATTCTCAAGGCTGTGGGAATGCTGCTTACTGGGCCTGGCGAGGGAGCCTGCCAGGCTCCATTTCCCCTGCAGTTTCCCTGTAGCGCCTTACAAAAACTGAGCAGGTAGATACGCAATCTGTGGCTGACTGAAGTCGCCAACCAAGATTTATTTCCTCAGAGGCACGTTTTAGTTCTTGGGCTACAAGTATATAGCATTTCAACCAGAACATGCCAAAAAAAATACAATGGTTGGTTAAAGTAATTTTTTCATTCCTTAGACTTCAGGATATTAACCCATAGATTAAAATATTCAGCTATAAAAATGTTCTTTTGCAATGAGAAGGGGGAAATATATACAAGAGAAAGCTGGTATTAGGTAAACATCAGGTCATGCCAATGGCTTACCCCAGGTGCTCAAAATATTTTATTGAAGAAAAGAAGGAAGTAGCCCTGGCAGGTGTGGCTTAGTTGATTGGCTGTTATCCCGCAAACTGAAAGGCCACCAGTTTGATTCCCAGTCAGACCGCATGCCTGAGATGTGGGCCACATCCCCAGTTGGGGGGTGTGTGAGAGGCAACTGACTGATGTTTCTCTTGCACGTCGATGTTTCTCCCCCTCTCTACCTCTGTTCCTTCCTCTCTCCCTGAAAATAAATAAAATCTTTTTTTAAAAAAAAGAAGGAAGTAAAGGTAGACATTGGTTCAAGTTCTAAAGTGACATTTCTAAATAAGGAAAAAATTAGTAGTTAATTTTTAGTAGTTAAAGCCCTGAATTTGAAAGGAAGTACTATTTTAACTATATGTGATAAAACATTTTGAAGGGTTTAAGTGCATAGTCCCTGGTTTTGTGATTTGCTTCATGTGTGGTACTGGGCAATTTATATTTTTATTTTCTGAGACTGATTTTCCTTATCTATAAAATGAAGACAACCAAAGAAATATTGTGTGCAGATGCTTAATAAGTAGTCCTTGTGATTTATAAGTAAGCAAAGTTCTACATAACATCTAAAAGGAAACTAAGTTCCTTCAGAGGAACTTACATTAAGTTCTTAGACCAGATCTTGCATTCTATAACCAGAATACACATAAAATGTTATTACCACAAAATTCTGCACTGTTGTTATTTTTTTAAACCTTCACTTTGATAATTTCTATCTGAGAGCATATTCTAATGGTAGAATCAAGATTTTTTTCCCTAGGGGTATCTGTCATCCAATTATAAAAGAATTTCACCTTATTTCAAGAATGATTATGTAGAAAAAATATTATTCTTTAAAAATTCATTAATTCCTTCTGCAGCTTTTTAATGCAAAATGAAAATCCTATGTTTATTATATAATCAGTTCTTGTACAAATAATGAAAATATTTTTTTCTTTTGCACCCCGACACATAGTGGTAGAAAGTAAAAGGAGAACAAAGTCAAAAAGAGACAAAGAGTATTTTTCAGTTTCCTACTTAAAGCATTTTCCTTTTTGCTTATTAGAAGGTTTGGTGTACATTAGGGACATTTTGCTACTTTTTCCCTCTTTAAAAAAAAAGGTGCGTGCACACATACACAGGTACGTGCACACACAGCCTGTTAAGGAATTCAGAAAAAAAAGAACTTGGAGAATATATCTCAGTTTTATACTCCTGAGAAACAGAAAAAAATACCTTTCTTAATGTAGGAAGCATTCAAGTCCTGAGAGCAAGCCACCTCAACAATTGTTCCTTCTTGTTTTTTGTGCTCCTAAATTAAAATGCATGTTTTAATTGCTACAACTATAATTTATTCAGAAATGGTATAATTATGAAGTGTGAAGAAAGAATGTGCATCATCCTTTTATTATCTTTCTCCATTTTTGTTTTAACCTTTTCTCTCATCCTTGGCTCTGGACTAAAGAAGTAGACTAGCGTAGTTACTGCTAGCTAAAGAAATACACCTAACCACTGCTTTTTCGGTTTCTAGGAAACAGAAAGTACTTTAGCGTTTCCCAGCATCAAAGTTAGTTAAATGTGAAATACACATTGAGAACAATGAAGTTATGATGGCTTTAAAATTGGGGAATTTTTCTGAGTGCCTGGTTTAGGAAATTTTGTTAGTTCTGGTAAATAGATAAGCAGATCTTTTCCCCAACATTTTATTATAAAAATTTTCAAACATCCAGAAAGTTGAAAGAATTTTACACTGGTGTATGCTGGTATACCTACCACCTAGGCTCTAACATTAACTTTTACACACTTGCTTAATTACATGGATAGATTTTTAAAGGACTTACTTTGCCTTTTAGGAGTCCACAATCATACCAAAAAGGGACACTTTTCCTTACCTGGAGAAAAGTTGTAATGATTCCAGCCTTAGACCACACAATAGAAAAATGACATGTCTATTCTTATGAGTAATTAATTGATTGAAAATAAGGACTATAGTTCCCTAAACCTCAGTGGTCAGATGGTTGTAAAGTAACTAGATCAGGACATTACATCATATTTTATTTTGTTATGGTGAGTTGGACTTATTACTATGCGTGTAGATTTTTCTCTTAAATATCTGTCTTAATTTCTAACAAGGGATTATTTATTCTCTTCTTCAGAAACGGCCCTCTTTCAAGCAAATTATTTCAATTCTGGAATCCATGTCAAATGACACTAACCTTCCTGACCAGTGTAACTCATTCCTGCACAACAAGGCAGAGTGGAGGTAGGTAGGCCTCGCTCAGCAGTGACGTCCTCTGGTTTCATACGACCATGGCTGACCTAAGCAAAAAAGAGAACCAGAAAACCTGGTGAGGATCCTGATTTCTAAGTATAGCTTAGAACTTCAGGCTTTTTGGTTTGGTTTGGTTTTGTGTTAAAAATATTTGGAGATCTAATAAGTCCTCCATTTCATAGGTTAGCAAAAAAGACTGTTCCTCTAAGCTTGCTGCCTTATCATATGGTATGAGTATTTGGAAAGATTATTGAAATCATATCCCCTGAGACAAAAGACAGTTACCAGACATTTCTCTGTGTACACTCTGTGTCAGGAAGCTTTGGCCTTTGTCCAGTGAGAATAAAAATACTGTTTGCCTGGAAATTTGCAGAGACCACTGTATGTTGACGGAGGAGGTAGGGAGGCTATAAAAACACTTTTAAAAGAAAACTTTTGATGTTATAAATCCTATTCAATTGTGTCAAGTGTAAAACAAGTTTAGTAATGAGAAAATTGTATTGTGTGAGTGGAAGAAGTAAGCTTGGGATGAGACATTTGAGCCAGGTCACATGATGCATGAATATAAATAGCATGTTTGGGAGCTGACATTATTCCTCCCTGACTCAGCAGAGATTGAAGTAACCACTTCTCTGCTCCTGAGAGCCTTGGTGGTAATGTGATGCCTTGCGCCGCCTGCTGGTGCCAAATGAGTACTGCATGGACTTTGAAAATGACCGAGTTGTTTGCTCCTGTTGTTAAGACATGCCTTTGGGCTGTTTTGTTGGTGTTTTACAATAACTTTATTTATTTTTATTCTTTTGAAATTTCTGTCAAAGTCTAGCAAGTTAAATTTTTATTTAGGGAAACAAAAGTAATTCTGTCTGCTTTAGTCTAAGTGTGGGGGACTTTGTTCTGGGCTGAAATAATAAACAAAGCAAAACATGCAAATAATCTTTGTTTCCTACTGTAAGAGTCCAGCACAAATCTAAATAGATCACTCCCCCCCTTTAAATCCATATAAGGAGCTCCATTACTCTGGGACAGAGACCAAAAATATTTAATAAGTCTCATGAGATCTGCTTTACTCTGGCCTCAGGGGCAGCATCCTAAGAGTATCAGTCTGTCCTTAATTCTGGCTTTCAGCCCCTCAACAGATGCATATTTCTCCCCCACTCAGAGTTTTTACAAAACATAGTTTGTTCTGTTTAAAGTTTGTCCCTGTGTAGAACATGCAAAGGATATCAAGTGGATAATGTTATTTTACCTATCGAACTGGTGAGGATGAAAAAGAGCACTGATATTCCCCAAAGTGTACGGGCAGTGAGGCAGGCGCTCGCACACATTGCTAGCAGAATTGTAAATTGTTACAAACAATTAGAATTAAGAGCCTTAAAAATTTTCCAACCATTTGTCCCAGAAATTGCATTTCTAGGGAACTATTCTAAGAAAGTAGAGATGTGGACAAAGATATATGCCTAAAGGATTTCATGGTTAAAAATAAAAAGCATCTTCAAGGTCCAACATTAGAAAAATGGGGAATGGTTACATAAAATCCGAGTCTGTTCATAGACTCTTACAGAGTCACTAAAAATTACATTCACAGTATGGCGTTAGAAGTCAGGATGTCAGTACCTTTATGGTGTGGGGGGCATCTGACAAGGGCATTAGGGGGGCTACTGAGAGCTGATAACCTGTGTCTTTGTCTCGGTGCTGGTTATACAGGTGTGTTCCCTTTGTGAAAATTTATTGAGCTGTCCTCTTTGGATACGTACACGTTCTGAAAGTATGTTATACTTCAATAAAGATTTAACTTAAAAAGATAAAATAAAGCCCATCCCTGTTTAAAACACCGCCGCTGATGCCAGAGAGTAGCTAAAATAACAAGTCTCTGAGGAAGTGTCTCCTGGCCCCAGGCTAGATGAGGTTCCACCTTCTGTGCTGGGGGAGCATCTCCTTCATAGCCCATAACTGTTATTGGAATTAGTAAGTAATTCTACAGTTTGTTTAACGTGTGTCTCACTGGCCCAAACGTAACAGCGTCAGAGAATCTCTTTCGTTCATCACTGTGCCTACAGCATCTAGAACGTGCCTTGACCATAGCAGTTGCTCAAAAAATATTTGGGGAAGGGAATGCCATGGTGCTAATAATATAAAAAGACAATATGATATTACACAGGAGAATATAAATACGCAAGTTAATTTGTGTGCCACGCCAAATATATTCTCACGCGCGTTCATTCAGATATTTGCTGAACTTCTGCTGGGCCAAGGTGCCCTTCCAGGTGTTGGGGTTTGGGAACGAGCAGAACAGTCCCAACGCATGTGGACTGCCCAGGGTTAAACTGCTAAATATAAGTACACAAATAATTATCTCATTACTATTTTGAAAAGTATTATGTCAGTGAAGAGCTGGACATCTGAGAGGATATAACCATGAAATCTAATCTAGTTGAGTATATAATTAAAGGATTCCCTAAGGAAATGCTCTTTGATCTCTTATCCAAAGGATTCAGAGGATTTTAATCCTGCTACTAATACCCTTGAGGTGGGAATCTTTTGAAGTATATCAACAAAATTAGAAAACAAGGGGAAAGTTGGTACCTTTTCTGTATAAAAATGTAAAACTTCCATATGATCAAGAGCAATATGCTCTTTCATAAATAAAATTTCAGAACAAGTGCCATACTGTATGATAGATCAGAAGTTGTCAAAGTTTTTGGTCTCAGGACTCTATTGCACTCTGAAAAATTATTGAGGACTCCAAAGAGCTTTTGTTTAAATGTTACATCTGTCAGCAGTTATTAAAACTAGGACTGAGAGGAATGTAAATATGTATTTATTGATTTGTTTAAACAATTATAATAAATCCTGCTTCTGCACTCAACCTATGGCACTATCACATGTCATGAAGCCTCTGGGAAAATCTGTGCACTTGTGAGAGAATGAGAGTAAAAAAAGCAAATCATATCTTCATGTTACTCTGAAAACCAGTTTAACCTCTCAGATCTGTTGAAAAGCTCTCATGGGTCCCCCGCACTGCACTTTGAAAACCACTGTGATAGACAGAGTTACTGTCGTTAAAATAATATTTTAATTAAAATACCATACTAAGGACATGGAAAAGCATTCCACAAAAGGAGAAACCCACTGGCCAAGAAACATGAAATATATTCAACTTCACTTAGCAATCAAATATTATAAGGGAATGTAATTCATTTGACATATTGGCAAAACTTCCTAATATGAAAATACCCAGGTATAAATTTTCTCATACATTGCTGGTAAGAAAATACTACCTTCCTAAAAAAGGTATTCCTAAAAACATGAATGAGAAGGTTATGCAAGAATATATGATCCACCCATCCTTAGAACTGTAAAACCAGAAGTGGCAATCAAGGGAGATTTGGGGGATTTTTTTGTGGTTTCTAAAAATTATGGTATTTCCATTCACAGATAGTATGGAACAATTCCTGATACTAGAACTCTGATAACTTTTTTTAAATAGAATGATTCTGCTTTTGTAAAATAAACATATAGTTATGCATATGTGTGTGTATACATAGAGAAAACTATCAAAAGGTCAATGTTATCATTGGGTGGTGAGATTATGGAAGAGTATTTTCTATTTGTATTATCTGTATTTTCCACAATAAACCTGAATTAGTTGAATAATAAATTTAATGTTTTAAGTACTTCGAGGTGAAAAGATGAGGAGAATAAAATTGGTAAAACGCTAAGGTATTTTAGTAAAAGGTGAATTTTAGTTGCCTGGGGGGCGGCCTCATGGGCTTCCTTTCAGGAGCTAATTAATCCTGAGAGCTGAGGGAATAGAGACCTTTACCTGAACTGCTAAACCACTGTTTAAGTAATAGCAGAGCTGTTTTATCTGAACTTGGGCATTGGTTAAAAACCTGGGGAGTAATAAGAATATTAATTAAACAGTACTAAACATAGCTGTCATGTATTACATTCTTACCAGATACTTACACTTTATTTGGATTATCTTTCTTAATCCGCATAGCAACCCTGACATCACAGATGCCAAAACCTAGGCCCGGTCAGGTCGGGTACCCTGCCCAAGCCCGGCAGAGCCAAGAGTGGAGGCCAGGTTGGCTGATCCCACAGGCCTGCAGTAGCACACACACCGTGCAGGGCTGTTCCAGCACCGGTGGCCAATGGCACGCCACCCACTTATTAGCACACACTGTTCACTTGACTAGGTTCCTTTTTAGTAAAGAGAAATATTATAGGGCACAATTGTTTTAGGTGGTGAATAAAGTAAAACAACTACCTTACTCAAATACCAGGTACTGAAAAGCACTAAATGTTTTGTCAGGTCATCTGAATATTTCAAAAGACAACAGATTCAGACCACTCCTCTTTTTCCCTAACTTTGGCGTCTGAAATATGTGACTTGTCCAAAGCATGTGTTGTAAATTATAGTCACCGTGAAGTCAGATTCCAGTTCTGCTCTGGTGTTTCTGGCGAATGCTTGTTTTCTGGTTGAACTTCCTCTACACAAAGACCAGATGGAACATCTAGTTTTAGAAAATTAAATGATTACCCGGGAAAATCTTTTTAAAACTAGGTCATTAAAAACCACCTAAACTATGTTCTTAATTTTGACATAGTAAATAATAGGAAAGAAATCTAGTGCCAGACAGTTCCTTCTTCATCACGCCTTCAGCTTGTTTCTCCTCCTGGTGACTTACTAGCAGGGAGCATTACGAGCAGATGTGCCATCCTGCTTCAGTTTTCGTTGCCCTGAGGGGTGGTCTGCAGGCCTGTGGCAATGTCCGTGGGCTGTGCGGTACCGTGAAGGAGCCTCAGAGCTCTGTCTGTTGGCAAAACACTGTTGGTTGTGGTCTTTCTTGGTGATCACAATACTCTCACTGTGGCGTGGCTTCTTAAAAACAAAAAACAATGAACAAAAACATTTAATCTTTGCAATTAGGTTTAGCACAAATTTAATACATAAGACCAAATACACACATTATATACTTATCATGTAATATATATAATAAAGCTCTTTTTTTTTTTTAACTAATTGACCTGTTACTTCAAAGCAAGTTTCTGTCTAATAAAAGACAATAATTACGGTTCATTGCCTGTTTTTAGCGTATGGAAAATTGATACTAGTCAAAGTCAACGTTGGTTCGATTTTGTTTTCGAGTAAAACTGTAATTTTCATCAATTAAAAGATTTAACCCATATTTTTTACAACAGGAAAGTTATATAAAAGCATCAGCAGATGCATTTGGATGCTGAACAATGCATCAGCCCGAACGGGGATTAGCAAGGGGAGCAGCAGTCTTTGCATTGCGCTGAGGTTTGGGCTGCCCTTTCATGGCATGCGCCCCGAACACTGTGTCAGATGCCGGGGCATCGAGCAGAGCGGCCTTTGGAAGTTAGGCCTGAGGGATCAGACTGAGGAGGAAACAGATTGAGGAGGGAAATATTTACTGTCAGTGTTTGTTTTTCTGTGTCACAGCTTTCAGCTGACCTAACTGTTGATCTGTTTTCCAGAAGGGCGCAAAATCACAGTGGGCTCCTAGAGCTAGAACTTAAGATGAATCCTCCCCTTAAATTACAAGTGAAATTACATATGTTTGGCCATTTGCCCTGATCTGAAGGAACATCAGTCTCCCTGGCAGGAGAGTAGGGAGTGGTTTGGCAAGAACCACTGCTTTCGCCACCAAGTGTCACCCTCTTACTCTCTCATTGACTGAAGATGGCTTTTGCTTTCTTTGTTATGAAAGTTGAACCTTAGCTTTTTCACGTTGATTCCCCCCTACCCGAGTCCTCCATTTGCAAATTAAATACAAACATTTATGAATGGGTACAATATTTATGTCTGAAATATCAGGGATAAAATTTGGTTTTTTATGATCAGTCATAATTCTGGAAGTAGCTGACTTAGTGCCCTTCTTTAGGGACTATAGTGTGACTTCACTATATTGTTCTGTAATTTTCAAATGGCACCAGGGAAGTAAAGTGTCAGACCCAAATCCAGACCCACCTCAATAGCTGTTCCCTGAGTTGGGGTTTTACCCAGAATCCTTTTTGTTCCCCTTCATTTCATTCTCATTTTCAAGGGCATTGGAGTAAGCTTTCCAGTTATTCTCATTTCCCCTGGAAATAAAAAAGGGAGATTGTGGTTACTGATATTCACTAACTTACATCTGAAGTATCGCCCAGTGTGCCATGCAGGTGTGCCTTAGCGGTGCCTGGGAGCAGCTGTTGGCAGCACTCAGCGGCTAACCCACGAGTCCCCTTTCCAGCCTCTTCCTTCTCTCCATGAGCCTTCTCCAGCCCTTCTTCCCTTGGGTTCTCCCCGCCTCCCCCCATTTCTCTCTGTCCCTTTCTCCTTCTTTCTCTCATGTTTGCATTACTGTTGCTTTCCTCACAGGCTCTTCAGAAATTCAAGGGAAAGAAACTCCAGCTCTCAGAGCATAGATGTAGACTTAAACATTATGAGAGCCCTGAAAGAGAATACAGTTTGCACTAAGCCATCTTACCAGTTTCGGTTTCTGTAAGGGACAGGTTTCTGTAACTGGACATATTATTCCAAGTGGTGAGGTTGGTTGGCCTATAGAGATTGAGGACGGAACTTTCTTTTAAAATTATTACAGTTAGCCCTAGCTGGTGTGGCTCAGTGGACTGAGTGCCGGCCTGCAAACCAAAGGGTCGCTGGTTCGATTCCTGGTCTAAGGCACATGCCTGGTTTGCAGGCCAGGCCCCCAGTAGGGGGACGCATGAAAGGCAACCGCATATTGTTGTTTCTCCCCCTCTCTCTCTCTCCCTCCCTCCCCCTCTCTAAAAATAAATAAATCTTTTTAAAAAGTAAATAAAATAAAATCATTACAGTTAAAAAGAACTTTAGAGTATCTGTAGCCCAGGATTTCCTATATTTGCCTGATTGTAAAAATTATCTAGATCTTTCATTAAATAATGGAAATTGCTGGTCTCCATCCAACACTACTGAATCATGAGCTCTAAGGAAGGGTCCTAGGAAACCGGGGGGGGGGGGGGGGGGGCGTTTGTTTGTTTGTTTGTTTAACATGCTGCATAGGTAATTATTAGGATTAGACAAGCTGGGAATCCCTGATGTAAGATAACGATCATCCCTTACAACTGAGGAAACAAGAATCAGCTTAATCAATTGTTTGAGCTACTCAGCCAGTGAATAGGCTAACGTGAATTTACTAATGGTGTGATATTGACCTCCTAACTTGAGCACCATTTTTCCCATCTCTCCGTATATGAGATTAGCAACTGTTTCTTGGAACTGTTATGAGAATAAGATACGTTATATAATAGTCCTTTGTAAACTGTAAAGAGCTAGATGAATGTAAGCATCTATTAAATGTCTAAACCAGAACACTGGCTCTATAGCTCCAGCTTCACCCCAGGGCTCTTCAATGCTTTGTTAAGGTATTTTGAGCTTACTTTTCCAAACTAGAAACTAGCCGTTGATTTGGAAGGCTATAAAAGATTTGTTATTGTCTGATAGTTTGCTGTTTGGTTTAAAAGCACAAGTTTTAGCCGTTTGCCTTGATTAAGCATTCCGATGGACACACTAAGCATTTAATATACCTCTCAAGCAAAGCCGAGACTTTAACCAGTTATTTCTGTGCAGGTGTGAAATTGAAGCAACTCTCGAGAGGCTGAAGAAACTAGAACGTGATCTCAGCTTTAAAGAGCAGGAACTCAAAGAACGAGAAAGACGTCTGAAGATGTGGGAGCAGAAACTAACGGAGCAGTCCAACACCCCGGTGAGTGTTCCCAACTGTGTTGACTAACCTCCCCCCGCCCCAGAAGACACAGCTGAGCATGGCGGCACGGCAGCTTTCCCCCCTCCCACTGCCACCTCCTCACTTCCTGCCTAACACCTGTGTATTAGGACGGGCCCACACTTATGCTCAAGTGGAGCGAGCTCATGTCTCTGATCAATTAACAAAATGCCAGGAATTTCTAAGAAAAACTTACCCTCTTTCTGGCTCTTTCCCTAAAAACTGTTACTCTGTCAGTGTGTTCATATATTAGAGTTACAAAAATAAAATCCATTGTATTTTCACATCATTTGCTAGATGCCCAGAACATGTGCCTTAATGCTGTTTAACCCTTTAAAGTTCATCGGTAACTTAAAAATGTAACACCAAGGCAGCTAGTTATCTAAGAATGCCTTTGATGTGTCAGAACTCCACCAAGTTTTTCTTCTAAAAGAGAGCTAATTTAATGGCATGTAAATGACAAGCATTAATGTTCCTTACTCAGTGGAGCATTATGATCATGGGCAGGAAAAGACTGGAAAAAAGCCTTCTCTCAGGACTAGCTTCCAATATTTATTACACCTGGGAAATATCTCGGTTTCTTCCAAGCTTAGTCATTCAAGTAAGATAATCCTTTTTAAGAATTGTGCTATTTACACACTTATCATTAGCTTATATAATGACAAGATATAAAAGTCGAATCGAATTTCAGCACTCTTTTCTATTTTAAGTGATTTATCATTGTGGAAACGAAGTATAAATTTATCATTGGATTTACCAAGGTTTTTAATGGGTCCTATTTCTCCACTTTAAAATAACAAGTAAGGGTAAGATTAAAAGTATATTCGTTATATATTTAAACTTATTGATAGTTGCTATGGCAATTATACCAAAAAAAACACTCAAATACCCTCCACTTGGTGACCTTTTATCAGCTTTCCTATTTTTAAATGTTTTCATCTCCATTAAGCAGCCAATGCCCAATTGCAAAATGTTTTCCAGTGTCTGAAAAATAAAATAGTTTGCCTCCTTTTCCAATTTACATGGAGAAGCACCTGATATCCAAAAAAGGGAAATTACAGTGAAGGCAAATGTTTATTATTAGATTTAACTTTTTCAAAAATGACTTTGGTTATTCAGGGAATCCCAAAGTGAGAACTGAATTGCTATACACAAGACTATCATGGATATTAAAAAGGGAGCACATTTTGAAAGTTCAGTGAATTTAACTTGGCTCCCAATAAAGATGTCAAGGGAAGTTTCCTGCTCTGAGTTGATACCAAGAGGCAGACTCAAAAAGTATCCCCCTAAGGATGCGTCAGGGAGCACTGCTTTTCCCAGAGCTGAGGAGAGGTAGAAATATGGCCAGCTTCTTGAGAGCTGGGTTTTTTTTTTTAAGTACATTGAAATCTTAAGCTATGAAGCATTGCATGGCGTGACTCTAAATGTAGCATTGTAAGAAAAAACTTTAAAGCACCTATTAGAGTATGCTTTAGAACCTTTCTTTGGTTTATGGCATTAGTTTTGCTAAGAAATTATGGGCTGCCTTGCACATGTTCTTGCTATTATTAGTAACATAGCTGTGTAATAAAGAATGAAACACTGAGTGCTCAGTAGGTTGTATGCTGCATTTTAACTCCAGAAAACGTTCTGTGAAGGAACTGCGCTGAGGGCTGCCGTCTAATAATGGACAGCGTGAAGCACCATCTTGCTGAGATTTTCTTCCCTTCTTTTACTTAGGAGGGCTATGTTTTCTTTCTTTACATACTTGCTTTTAATGTCTCTTCTGCTTAGAGCTAGTATTTCTGAAGGAAAGAAAGTTTGTGCTCAGGTATTTTATAAATAGGTATTTTCTTTTATCCTCACACGAGTTTCTAGATGACTTTCAATAAGGTTTCTGAGAGAAAGATAAAGTAAACCTTTTAAAAAGGAAGTGGCTGGAGGTTTAAATTTCCTGTTGGTAGCCTCATCTTAATTATAGAAGTTTAACATTGAAATATATCATTTAAAATTGTATGGTTGGACTTATTTCAAGGAAGGACAACTATTTTCTTCCCTGAAATTAAAAGATTAGATATTTAGGAAGATGAATTCTCCATACATAAATATGAATAATGTTTATTTTTAATTATTATTATATCTTGATATAAAAAATAAAAAACTTACTTCTTTTAACAATGAAAGCTTATTTGAGAGACATTTATTGAGATCTGAACATAATGTGAGAAAGGACCCATTAAATAATAAAATAAGTAAGCAACAAAGAGTTTCCTGAGAACATCTAACAATTTAAAACAAATCTGAGCCCTGGCTAGTATGGGTCAATGGGTTCAGTGCTGGCCTGGGAACACAAGAGTTTCAGGTTTGAATCCCAGTCTAGGGTACATGCATGGGTTGCAGGCTGGGTCCCCAGGAGGGGGCGTGCGAGAGGCAACAACACATTGATGTTCCTCTCCCTCTCTTTCTCCCTACCTCCCCCTCTCTAAAAATAAATAAATTTATTATCTTTTAAAAAAAGAAAACAAATTTGAGAAGCTTGGAAATTTGACTACAAGGAAAATATACTCTTTTCAGTGTTAAAGGATCTAAAGCAATTTTTTCTATATAATTGGTACTTTTTTTTAGGTGAATTAGATGACATTCTTATTGAACTAACAACTTCAGCAGTCTTTTCTTAATAGAGTAGGATATTTTTTTAAAAAACTTGGCTCCAACTTTAATTTAAAAATTAGAAAATTGTCCCTTAAAAAAATATCTTTACACGCAGAATGTAAAGATCACCCAACTGTTTTATATTTGTACATTGTTTGTCACAAATATACCCACATTTAAACAGCACCAAAAATATATGCTTTAATTTGTTTATTTGGAAAGAAAAAAAGAAGCAGTAACACTTTGCAGAGCCAAACAGTTTTACTCCCAAAATAAATCCGACCAACATGTATGGAAATAGGATGACTGTTCAAAGTATTTACATAAGGTAGAAAATAAATGTTTGTATCCACTGTGAAAAAGAGAATTCCTAAAAAAAAAAAAAAAGTTATGCTAAAGGAAGAAAACTTACATAGCAAACAACAGAGCAAAAGGTAACAATCTAAATTAATAGTAATTCCCTTTCCTCTCAATTTTCATATGTCTTTATTTACTTGTTTATAACATAAATGTTAGAGACAGGATCTAGAATTTGTTCACAAGTAAATTATTTCATAAATCGAATAACTAGTATTATATCATCTCTGGTTGTAATAAATAATAGATAGAAACAAGTGAATTTTAGACTCATTTTTAGTTTAGAGTCAGATACTAATCTAGCTAAAAGGGTCATTAATGACCCACACATCCCTAGAGCCATATTGACTGCTGAGCTGTTTGCATGCTTCCTCTAAGCTTTTCTTCTTCGCATTTTCTTGATTTTTGCTTGAGATGTCATGCCTACTTAATTTCTTTTTAATATAATAATTACTAATATTTCTCTGTGAAAGTGAAATTGGGAAAAATTAAGAAAAATCCTAAAAACTGTTTTGTTTTAAGCAAAATGAAGGCTTAAAACTTGCAATGTTCTTCTCATTTGAAATTTGGCTTGCTACAGTGCTTTGCATACTTTTGGCTGTGATTTATTCTGTCATTTATAAATTATGGGAAATACCCTGGAGCCAAATCTGCCATTAAATAAATTCTCACGTAATTCCCTACATTCATTTATTTTCCTAATCATTTACCTTCTGTGCAGTGCCCGCTAATTTTGTGGTATCTGTTTCCTTTATTTAAATTGGTCCTAATTTCTCTTTTTACCTCTGTCCTTTCTTCCCTTGTGATAGCTTCTCTTGCCTCTTGCTGCAAGAATGTCTGAGGAGTCTTACTTTGAATCTAAAACAGAGGAGTCAAACAGTGCAGAGATGTCATGTCAGATCACAGCAACAAGTAACGGGGAGGGCCATGGCATGAACCCAAGTCTGCAGGCCATGATGCTGATGGGCTTTGGGGATATCTTCTCAATGAACAAAGCAGGAGCTGTGCTGCATTCTGGGATGCAGATAAACATGCAAGCCAAGCAGAATTCTTCCAAAACCACATCTAAGAGAAAGGGGAAGAAGGTGAACTTGGCCCTGGGGTTCAGTGATTTTGACCTGTCAGAAGGTGACGATGATGATGATGATGGTGATGAGGAGGATAATGACATGGATAATAATAGTGAATGAAAGCGGAAAGCAAAGTAATAAAGTTGAAAAAGTTTGGAAAAACAAAAGAAACTTGTTATCTCAGTCTGTACAAAAACGTGTAAGGAGGTAGAAAACCAAGCATTGCATTTGTAGGCCAAGTACATTTATGACAGTCATTACTGATTTTACTTGTGATTTGCTTTTGCTTACAGAAAAATGGCGGGGGGAAGGGGGCGATTGAGCCAAAAAGATATATGAATCAGCAAATGTGGTGCCTGATTATAGAAATTGGTGATTCTATATACAATATAGTATTTTTTAACTAATGGTGTTCCGGCTTTTTCTTTAATGAATACCTTGATAGCTTATATTTGATTTGATTTGATTTCGTTTATTCAGTTGCTTAAGAAAACTTACATTTTGAACAAGCACTCTTAACTCCTAATTCTTCTTTGACACTTGATTTTCTTGTAACATGCTACTTTTTTTTTTTCTTGTGGCAATACACTGTACTGTCAGAAATAATTGATAGTGACTACAAAAGCCAACATAAGAAAAGCAGGATGAAAGAAGGTTATAACAAATACCTCTTCAGAAATACCTAAATGCCGAGAGTTTTCTATACTTAATAGCACAACTATTCAAAGTAAGACGTGAGAGATGTTCTCAATAGTACAGTTGAAGGAGAAATAGTCTAATTTGAAAACAGCAGCAGATGTCACAGGCTTCCGTACCAGTGCTAGCCCTGGAAGCTTCTTGACAGCAGCACACTGTCATCGAAGGCTTACCTTTTCCTTTATACAGAAAGAGAGAGATGGACTTAAAGGGGTACTTCCAGGCAGCGTGAGTGTTGAGACGGGCCTTCTCTGCCCTTCAGGTATGTGTGTTTGTTTTCCAGAGGGGCCGATCATCTCGGATTTGAAAGACATGTACAGATTTTTTAAAGAAGGAAATGTTACAAAAGGAATGGCAAAGATAAGTTTTCATTACTTAGGCAAAAGTGTGAGATGAAGGGTTCTTTTTATGTCAGATGTAGCCTTCCAGGGTTCTCTTTTTTGAACCCTGACTAAGTGATGCCGGTGTTAAAGAGAAGTAGATGAAGGAGCTGCTCTAAAAACCTGGGTAGCCAGAGAGAGATTCTCCAAATGTTATCACTGACTTGTTAAAGCTTGTTTAAACTATAAAACACCGTTAAAAAAAAAAAAAAGACAAACAAACGACAGAACATTTTTAGTTATATTTAAAAAAGGCAAAAGAACAAAGGCTTTTTCAGCCTAAATTGGAGGGAGAGCAGTGCTGTTCATTTGACTATTAAATCAAAGCACTTCCGGTGATTCTTTTTATGGAAGATTTAAGAAAGGATATCATCATAGATATTATCTAATACCATTTCCAAGTATGTTTGATCATAAAAAGCCTCTTGGAATTTGAAGCTTGGCATGCTTCTAATCCCCATTAAAAGCTGAAAAATACTACAAAATGATCGGTACATTTTTCCAGCTTTATTTGGAGAAAAATAATGAATAAAATGTTCTGGGTGTGAGATGTAGAACAGCCTATGTGAGTAGAGTGATAAAGAGGGATCTGAAATCAGATCATGATTCAAAGCCCTGGGTCTACGTACTGTACAATCTTGGGCAAATTATTTAACCTCTATGTGTCTGTTTGCTCTTTAACATGGGAATGATAATAGTATCTACTTTAAAGGATTGTTGTGAGGATTATTATTATTACTATTATTATTATTATTTACGCGTAAAGCACTTAAGTACCAGGTCTATGGTAAATGGTCAGTTAATATTATCTACTGTAATTATGTCAGTGAAAAGGCACTGAAAACAAAGTGGTTTCGATAACCTTCTAGAAAACTAACCTATAGACTTCAACTGATATTTTGTTAGTATGGGATCAATTTAAAAGTGAATCATTTTCAGGAAAGAATTTGAACCATAGATTTTTTTCTGTTGCTCTTTGAAGCTACCACCCACAGGCAAAGTAAACACAGAAAGAGGAGGTGAGCCTCCTGCCTAGAAAATGGGTTCCCCACTTACCCCATCCGATACGTAGATACAGATACACGCACACCACAATATGGTGCTGGTGACAAGTCGGCACGCACTTAAATAAGCATGCTGACTGTGCTCCCTGACTCAAGATAAGCCACTCTAGCAGAAAATCTTGGAGTGGAGCAGAGGGGAGGGTTCTCAACTTTTGACTTCCCAGCATGCCCTGGGACACTATGGCTCAGCAACCTGAAGAGGGAGCCAAAGAGCATAGTTGAAAAGCCTCTTGCTATAAGGGTGCTAAATAGTAACGGGAAAAAAAATACAAAAAAATTAAAAATAAATTTTTTTTAAAAGGCCTCTTGCACATTTTACCAGGCAGAGATAAAGTCATTCATAACACAGATATTCATTGAGCCCCTTCTTTGTGCCAGGTACTATTCTAGGCAACAGCAAGACAAAAATATTTGTACTTGCGGACCTTACATGCTAGAGAGGGGAGATCAACAATAAATAAAACTAATGTATAATGTAGTATGAAAACATTTGATAAGCACCTGCTGAGAAATGAAGCAGGAAAGGAGGATAGGGTACATGGGGATTGTTGAGGTGCTTTCCTGTGTGGTCAGGAAAGGCCTCACTGACAAGGGCATCTCTGGGCTGCTTCTGGGATCTGTGCCCTTTATGGAAGAATGTAAACCTTGCCCATCATTTAGGGATAATCAGCAATAAATTTAGAACATATGAACTGAATGAAACTGACTTTTTTCCTCTATTTATAAGTCTGTTATGATTATACATTGAGTTTTGCTGCATTAATAACAAGTCAAATAGAGCCAAAAGATAAAAGTAATAGGACTCTTGTATCCAGGCCCAGAATTACCAATAATTAGGTAATATTTCTTTAATCTTTCAGTTCCTGTTATTTTCCACCAATATTCCAGAGATGGTTATAACTCAGTACTCCGCCGTCAAGAAACTGCTAGGATTTAGGATATAGCAGATTGATAACCTCAGCGATAAGCTTGGAATTGTTCTCTGCTGAGAATTAGGCTATAGGTCCTTACCATATGGCCCTGGCTATTTCACTCTTTGTTCCAAATCAGCATCTTTCTAAGGGTTTGAACACCCCTGAAACCTGCATCATATAAACTGAATTTTAACTTGGTCTCACTCTGTGAAGATGAGAAGACTTTAAAAGAAATGGTTATCGGCCATATGCATAATCTCTAAAGCTGAAGTTAATTGTGCAGCTTGTAATTCACTTTTCAGATCAGTTTTTGAAATGGCAAATTATCGATGCTGAATTTATCTCCAATTATTTGATTTACAAAAAGAGACATTTATAAGAGAAGAGAAATAAAAAGAGAAATTCAAAGACTCGAAATGAGAATTGAAGTTCTGAAGTGTAGCCATAATTGTCAGAGCCGCGCAACTGAAAATACACTCGTCTCTCAGCTCCCTCCCTTTGCTCCTAGAGGCAGCTACATAGAATCTGATGGCACCCAGCTAAGAGCTCTCACCAGAGGCAGGGGTGGCACCTCATGGCATTCGGGAGCGCTAGCCGTAGATTTGCTTGTTGTGGTGACTAGGGGGGTATTTAGCGCCCAGTGCCAAAAATGGTAACACCCCAAATGCCAGGGACAGTTGCACCCCATAAAGAATTCCATCCAAAATACCCATTTTCCCTTCCTCCACGGAGAAACTTGCTAATAAATCTGGTAGTTTCAGAGTTCCGTATCTAACTTCCCCCGAACCCAAACAGAATCACCCACGTCAAAAGATGCATTTGCAGAATTACGACAACTACACAGTCTGATCTTTGTAGGTCTGTGGCATTTATCTTAAATCCCCCACTTGTGGAAACGGTTTCTATCCCTGTGGCAATGCTGGTGGAAACTTTATGAAACAGCTCAGTTTACTCTCCTGTTACACGAAGCCACACTAATAAAAAAACAAAAACATTGTCTAGGCTACAGTTCTGCGGCGTAGCCAGGTTTATTTAAAAGGGCTCTTTTCCTGACAATTTTTTTTTTATTTTTATTTTTTAGTAAGGTCACAATTTAATATTTTACATGAGTAACCGATGGGAAGAGGTTGCAGGCACCTCTTGTTTCTGATGTTGTGGAACTGCTGAAGGCCGTTTTTTCGCCCATGATTTTTAACATGATCCCCATTAAAATCAAGGAATTGGGGGTGGGGGCAGGGGCAAGGTTTGGGAGTGATCCAGAACGATTTCTGTAGCACTATGAGGTATATAACTTTATTTTTAGAATTTTCATTGGAGTGGTAAGAATTTCATGAAAGATCATTTAAAACTTATTCTGAGTTAAATATTGATACTTTAATTTTTTTTTTTTTGATACACTAAACTTGTTACAGCCTTTTGCAATTAGCAGTCTCACCAAACCACATATATAACAGAGCATAATTTTTCTATAATCAGGTACCTTTTGCTGCTTTTGAGTAAGACTTTTCCAGCTTAACTTTTAAGCACTGTCAGAGCGAAGACTCTGGTCTGTTCTTTTGACTGTAGCATAGCCTGCCACCTATAGATGCACCATTTCTGTGATGAAAAATGAGTGTCTACCAGGAATCTGGAGGACTAGCTACGTTTCCTCCGATTCTGACTTACTCTGCACTCTATTGCCTGTGACGAGCTTTCTGGCATGTGATTATTTACTTCAAATTAGAGTTTCAAACACCTACATTAATTATTTTACATCGTGTGTAGGATAATACATCTTTTAATGTCAGATACAATACAATGCACATATTGCTTTTACACTGTTTTAAATTTTTTGTACTAAATAATAGAAAATATTTATACTCTTTGAGTGTGAGCTTTGAATAGATGGCATTATCACTTTATTGTTTTTTTAACAAATTTTTTTCTCAATTATTCTATTGCAATGTTACTCTGAGCAAGTTCTATGCCAAAATCTTGTGTATTGTTTGTATGGAAGATTACCTGTGTGGTAAGACTACTCAGTTATTGACTTCATAGTTGGAATTTGATATTCCAGCACAAAGTCCACAATGTATTCAAAATCCAAGTTGGTGTCATAAATTTCATTTTGATGTGAACTTTGCTTTCCTTTGTTTTAAGACTCCATTTTACAATAAACGTTTTAACAGTAAATCCCTTTGTTATGTGTTACTGTGTACATCATCACATCTTTGTTAGATTTGATTCCCAACATCCTTTGAAGGAGTCGCTGTCACACACATGCACATGAGTGTGAGCTTTTCTCCCCTGATATCAGTTGGAGTGTAAATAATGGGTTTGTAAAGTGACAGAGCAGTCACAAGTTGGATATTTTTTTAATCCCCAAAGAGAGACAGAAAGGCTTAGGACTCACCCTACAGCAGATGCACTGACACAAGGTACAGAAAACATAAAGGAAATGGTGAGCCACTGTGTGGCTGGAGGTCATAACTCTTATCCCCTGTCCTGCCAAATCCAAACCATCTTGAAGCAGTGCCTTCCTCTCACTGCTCTTGGCAAGCATCCTGCGGGAGCCTGCCTGGCCGGGGCCGGCCAGGCGAATCAGTCGGTTGGAGCATCATCCCCTACACCAAAAGGTTGCAGGTTCGGTGTCCGGTAGGAGCACTTGCGGAGGCAACACCGATCGATGTTTCTTTTTCGTATCTCTCTCCTCCTCGCTCCACCCCGTGTGTCTCATCAATTAAAAACATACCCCCAGTTGAGGATTTAAAAAAAGAGAGAGACAGTCCTGCCACAACCCAGTGCCTTTCCCTTGGCATCAGCCTAATGAGCATCCTCAGAGTGCGACAAAACTCTTCTCTCCCTTTGACATGAAAACCAAAGGTGTTGGTATTGATTAGTTGTTTCATTGGCAGCCTTTATTCTAATCAAGAACACTTCTTTACCAAGTTTGTTTAGCACAACAGTTGAGAATGGTATGAAAATCAAAGTGCTGCGCATCCCTCTTCTCCCTGTAAAAGCCAGCCCTGATGCAGGGAAACATTTCTGGAACTTAGTCTGTTGTTTCTTGAACTAATCAAAAAAGTTCTTACTCCACATTTGTTTCCTTGATGGGAAAGGGAAATGACATGTTTCTGCAGCTGTACCCAGCTGCCCTATGAAGAAATAAAACTTGTCATGTATTTTCTTGGATGGAGTTTAGTTTAGATCCTATTCCTCACATCGTTTTCCTTTCTGCATTATTGAAGCAGGTGAGTGCGTGGGACCACTGATTCCTACACACACAAGGTATTTCAGAGGAGGGAAGGGGCCACCCCGAGGGAACTGGAGTACCTGGGGGCAGCAGAGTACACAGCGAGTAGTAGTGAGTTCTGCCCTTACAGCCTACCTTTGTTACTCAAATCCTACACATTCATAGTCATTGTAACCAGTGGATTTTTAAAAAAAAATCCTGCCTAGCCCCCCAGAGCCGGTCTAATTTCCCTGTATCCTTAGACATATACATGCTGCTTCTGGTGCCCTGCGTGGGCAAACGTGCCCCGCTCATCCTCCCTCCCCCTGCCCCCTTCACTGCCAGTGTTTTTGCCCTGTTGCTTCTCCCCACCTGCACTCGCCGCTCTTCTCCTTTCCCTGCAGTGCCCAGCTCAAGCCACTGTGCCTTCCCGTCCCTCATCTTAATCTATGAAACCCTCCCTTTTCCCTGGCAAACCCACAGACATTGAACGCTATGCCAGGGAATTTAGCGTTTTATTAAATGCATCCTTCAGTTTTATTCATTCAACAGATTGTTCAACAAAAATTGACCAGGTAGTGTGTGCCAGGCGCTCTGCCAGACCCTGAGTGTAAACCAAGATGAAGGTGACCTTGAACTCCTCCACATGTAATTCATACCTGTTTTACCCCATTTCAATGAAAAGCTTCAACCATTTTGACAAGTATGTTAAAGTTAATGGCTATAACAAACTCTAAACCAAGTCACAGGAGGCCCGGGGTTTGGTTTTGTTTTTCATATCGCATAGGCATTTATTATTTTCTCTATGGCAATGGGGCACACATTGAAGTGAGTAGCTCTTTGGTTCTGAAAATCGTGCCAACTGAAGTCCTCTTGCAAAGTTGCCTTTCATGTTTGTGCACTGACACGGAGGGAATTTTGTTTTGTATTGTTTTGTTTTGTTTTGTTTTAGTTAGAGCAAATTTGCAACCTGGACTTCTTAGAAGAGTTCTACTTCCACTTGTCCTTTTTCATCCATGGATCCTAATATTTGGTTTTAAAAGATATCCTGCAAACAGAACATTTAGTTAAACACTTAGAAATTCTCCTGTAAGAATAAGCATGAGTCGTCTGGTTACTAAATGGTTGCTTTAGAATTAATAACCAAACAATCCTCATATTGACTGCAAATTCCAAGGAAGGCTCTGGCATCTGACAAATGTCAGAAATTCCTTGACTGCCAAGACCTATTGTGGGCTATAAAAGGACTCTTTGTGTGCCAAGTGCCGACCAAGGAAAATTTCAAGATGTACAGCATCTGGCTACAGCAGCTCACAAAGTGCGCTGAATTGGGCCCTGGCCCGGTAGCTCCATTGGTTAGAGTGTCACCTTGATACGCCAAGGTTGCAGGTTCAATCCCTGGTCAGAGCACATACAAAAATCAACCAATGAGTGCATAAATAAGTGGAACAACAAATTGACCTCTCTCTCTCTCTCTAATTAAAAAAAAAAAAAAGTCTAAAAAGAAAAAGGTGCAATGAAGTCTTACTGAGAGTTTGATACACTTGATTGGCTTCTGTGGGCAAAATCCTTGGAGCACTGAAAAATTCCTCTTAAGGTCAGAAACCTTGTTTTCCATCCAATCTCACGTGGAAGAGGAAACAAGCCAGAGTAGCACCTGAGAGCTAAACTAGACAATGGGAAGAACCAAAAAGACAATGAGAGTATTACTTCTTAAAAATTTCATTCGTATTTCCCATGCAGCTGCTGCCTTCCTTCGAAATTGGCTCGTGGACTGAAGATGACGTGGTAAGCTGCTTCTGCTAATGCCTCATTTGATGGGGGCAGGTATTTCATAAATTTGTCCACAAGTTACAGACGCAGCTAGAGGGGCTTGGGCCTTAGGAACTAGAAGTTGACAGATTCCATGTTTTTCTGTTTTTAATGCAGTAATGTTTAAAATAAGGCCTGAAGAGCAAAGCAAGTATCTCTTCAAATCTTACAAGAGGATTCCACCTCCTTATTTGCTCAGAAAGGTATTCCAGAATACAATAATGAATACCAATGACAAAACTAAAGGGCTGATCCAGGGTACCAAATAAACACACTTTTAAAAAAAATTATCTTAAATTCTCCTAAGATTACCAGGGATGGACTTGAACCACAATAGAGAAAGATTCGGTAAAGGTGATTCCACTGCACTAGGTATCCTTCCCACGTTAGGTCAGCTCAAACGTGACAGGTTCATTTTTGCCTCCTTTACTCTGACCTTCCCAAGGAGGATGGACATGAGCTCTCAGACAACTGGAGCCAGAGAATCCCCATGTTTTGGAGAGAATGTGGGCAGTCTTAAGTCAAGTGCTACACCCTACATTTGGGGAGGGACCCTGAGGAAGAATCCTACGTAGCCTGTTGTATCTCTGTATCTGTTTCCTTAGTGAAAACCAGGTCTGAGAATTTTTGAGCAGAGACCTCTCAGGGGCTTAGGCTCAAGGTATCATTAAATCAAAATGAAGACAAAAGCTATAATGCTGTCCTTAGCAGATTCCTGCCACAAGGTGCAAGCTTACTACTAGAAACTCTTGGAAAGGTCTGTTTACCCAACTCAATCTGGTTTTTGGGCCAAGGCATTTCCCTCCCTGCCTTTTGTGTTCTGGTGAAGGAAAACCGCTTTCAACATTTGTTGACCTCTGGCTTCTATGAGTAAAGGACACTTGGCACCAGGTGCATCTATTTTTGCCCCATTGTCTGAGCCCCAGTGATTCTAAGGCTTCTACCAGCCCTGCCTAACAGGGAAAGAGGACTTAGCATATCCTTTATTCACAGGCATGGATATAATCCCATTCTCCCCAGCTGCAAAGTTGATGTATCTAATTTGAAAAGAAAATTTTTAGAAGGCTATTTTTTAGTCTTTGCCCTGCTTGGGGTTCAGTGGTTTTCAAACCATTTAAATAAAATTCCAGGATCAAGGACACCCCAGAGAACTGGTGGGACTGGGTCTGGCCTCCATTTGGTCTCCCTTGACCAGGATACTCTGAGAAGCTGCCAGTAAATGTGTACCAGGTGAAATTAAAGGACTGACGGTCACGGGTCCAGCCTCATTCTATACAGCAAGCTCCACGCTTTAACTTGTCTTGGTCCACATAAGTACTTCATGACCAGGCCTAGAACAGAGGACACGATCTACCCATTTCTCTGTCCACTGCTGTGTGGTCCCTGTTACTCATACAATGGCCGGGTAAACCAGTGCCCCTCCATAGCCCTGGGGAGACAAACTGAAAATCATTATAAGAACATTTTTGAAAGGATTTTTAAATATCTCCCAAATAAGAAAGAAAACCAATGTCCCTCACGTGTCCAAGAGCCCCCAAAAGAGGGATAGCTCTAGTTTGAACGCTTGAAATCTTAAAATCATAAAAACAAAATTTTCTATTTTACCTTTGTGGTTGAACCAAGAATTAAAGATATTTTACTTTATCAAGAACTACAGGTGTTACTGTTAAGTCTGGCCACTGAGCATGTATGAATCTTCAAAACTATATGTGTCCTCTCTTTCACAGTATTTTTGGGTTCAGCAGCTCGTCCGAAAAGGCAAGTAGAATAATTTACCTTCTTAATTCATGGAGTTAACTTTGCTTTGTACACAATTTAGTCTCATTTTATTCTGCCTTCTAATCGCTCCCTTCAGGTGACTCTTCAGCAGAGATGAGCATCTATGCAAGCTTGTTTAAGGAAAACAACATCACGGGAAAGCGACTGCTTCTTCTGGAGGAGGAAGACTTGAAAGACATGGGCATTGTCTCCAAGGGGCATATCATTCATTTAAAGGTACCTCAGAAAAGGAGGAGAGTCAACAGCTCTTCACTGAGCTCCTGCCCTATAGCAGATCAGGTGTTGTGTTGGCAGCTGCGCACAGAAGCAGGGCTGCGCTGGTTGCGTGGAACTACGTCCATACCAATTGATTTTTAGCTGCTTCTTCCAT